TCCCGGCCTCCAGCCGTCATTTGCGTCTCCACAGCGTGCCGTGATCGACAGGTGGAGGCCTTTCACGGCGGCATCAATGCATGGCTCCAGGGCTCTTAGCTGAGGAGGCCCTAACGTATGACTCAGTGATGCTAAACCCAAGTGCACTTAAAATAGAAGTGTCTGTTTACAGCACTAGATTAAAAAAATCACAGATAAGGGCTAAAAAAAAAACCTGCACACTACTAGCCTACATAAGAGGCCAGAGGGGAAAAGAGAGATTGTTAAAAATTTCCTGCACAAAATTGAGTAATGGTTATACGTTAATATTTTTGTTTCAATGTGGATGTCCCCAAATGCATGTGTTATTTTCTTTTATGGCCAATTTGACTTCCTAATATGGATACTTTTGTAGTCTTTGATTTCTTTCACAGATAAGAATACTAATTTCAGTATTTATACTAAATACTGATAAAACAAAAAAATGCATCTTGGGGGTATCAGAATGAGCTGCAAACATGCAATTGAGATATTATGGCCTTCTAAATTATAGCAAACTATTTACGAACACTTTTTATACATCCATCAGTTTTCGATCAACATTGGCATTTTTGTGTTTTGTTTGTGTCTACTAGGTGAACACTGTTTTCACCTCCACCTACAACAGGGAGAATATGTTGCTCTTCAGCTATCACAGCCAATATTTCCTAACATTGTCGGTCTTGTGTTTGTTCCTTGGCAGGTAGTTCATGGGGTTTTTTTTTCATGATGATGAGAGCAGTGATGCATCGACACACCTTTTTAAGTTCTGATAGCATTGTCATTCCTGGGCTTTGGGCATCTGTTGATACCGAGTACTGATCAGATACCAGTGACAAACTAATAACCTCTAATCCACACTGTTAGGATGAGACTGGGATTCATTAATGTGTAAGACTTCATAACACAACATTATATAAATACATATAAACTGACCAAACTGTTATCACAATCTGCCCAACAATCTGTCTACCACTTGCAAAAGTACCAATCCCCCTCTGCTGAATGTGCAAAGCAGCCGAAGCCGTGCACTCCCATGTTGTCCATGGCTTTTTCATGTTGCTAGCATTGTCTTTCAAAATGACGTCAACTTAAGTGAGCTGATAAGGCATATCCTTTCTTCACTGTTTGGTGTGCAAACTCGTGACCAACAAGTGTACTGTTAAATGTGAAAACGGGCAAACACTCCAGGTTTCTGCAGTGAAGCTCATAGCTTTTAAATCCATCAACTCTGCTAATAAGTATTCTCATAGTTCTTGTAGAGGTCAGGCAGAGCACTCTCCCAAAAATATCCCATGGATAAGCCCATTGTCACTGCTTCCTGATCGATGTATTTTAGTCAGAATCGGACATCCAATGCCAAGATCGGAATTGGGCATTTCTAGATGAGAGCCGTAAGATTGAACCAAAACAATTAAATCAAAACAATGACCTGAAAGAAGCTATAATGCTCTGCTTAAGAAAGCTGCAGATTTGGGTCAACCCCTGTGTTGCACAATGAATAGTACAGCATTGAAGTGAGAAAAGAAACAGGAAATAACATGAAGATTGTCGATCAATTGTTTCTCTATATTTTTGTTTTATGAAGTTTATTTTGTTTCTGAACAAACACTTTATTTTTAGGTTATACAACACAACCCATATTGCATTGGCCAGGTAGTCTTTGAGTCAGAGCACTTCAACCTGTTTAAATGTTCTTGCTCAGAAATGTTGACAGTGGAGTCACCTTTCAGCGGCCCAAGTCATATTTTTTAATCCACCAGCACAAACAGAGATAAAAGGCTCATGAACAAATATTAACAGTGAATTCTGTAGCACTGCCAAATCGTGATGCATAAGCAAACTATGGCAACTATGAGCCTGAGCTCCAATAACAACGGCTACCTGAGAAATTACTCACCACTAATTGTTCACAGCCATAAAGCATAAGAAGCTGTCTTAGCAAAAGGGTGAGGTCCACTGCAATCTACACTGGATGTCCATCACATGTCACGAGTTGAAGAAAAGTAACCACATATCAAACACATCTTTACAGTCATGTGGATACGAGTCCATTAACTAATACAAATATCTACCCTGTGTGTTTACACTGCCTCTTAAAACACGACTCACATGTATTGTTTAAAGATGACAAGATCAAATTTTAATTGATTCTCTGTAAAATAATTGCACTTAACACAAATAAAAAATTAACTGTCTGTTGGTTGACTTCACACCCAAACACTGTGTAATTTTAAATGTGAACTGTGAGGAACATTTTAGCCTTGTCAAAGGAGAGTTTCTGTCACTATTGGAACAGAAAATCAAGTTTATCTAACCATCCATCCATCCATCTATCTATCTATCCATCCATCCATCCAACCATCTATCCATCCATCCATCCATCACATTTTCACAACTGGCTCCATGGTTTATTTCTTCATGTTTGCAGTAAATTTGCACTTCCTATGGTCTTTTTTCATTATTGTTTAATTTGCAGTTATTGTTGTTTAACATGGACAGTTCAGAAAATGTATCTTTAATAGGAAAATAAAAACCCGAAACTTAAATAAAAAATTTAAAAAACCGACAAGGGATAAAAATGGCAGTAGAGGAATAATTAATTAATTTTAGCAGTCTTCGTAGGCCAACTGTTGATTTTGAATACTTGTGCATCTGAATTTTTAAAACATATTTGTGCTATACGCCGGCTTTTGTAATAGACCACAAAATGTTTAACTCACACTATCATTCTCACATTAAGATACCAGCATAAAAGTGTTTTTATTTCCAAATTACAGTCCATATTTTTCTTGAAGATCTGTTTGAATAGTTTACCTAATGCACTTATCAACCAATGAGACGTTTCAGAATGATTTCCATGTTTTGAACATTTAGGCTATAAATGCCTCACAGGGAGAACAAATTGTAGCTCCAGGGACATGTACTGTATATTTCCCTCAGGTTGTAGTTTTATGATCATCTATGTTCAAAACAAGTGAATTCATGCTTGACTTAAAATGACATGCGATTTTTCTAGATTAAACTCTTGTGAATGTAAAATAAGCATAAATAGCATCCTGAGAAAACGTATGATGTCAATGTGTTCACTGTTAAGGAGAAATACATGCTGCAATCAACTACAGAAAATATCCACAAAAGGAACAGGGAGATTACAATGACCATCGATCATAATTATCAAATTATAAATAAAACAAACACAGGCCAGAGTTATATAGACGTGATTTCATTTTTAATAACTCTAGCAAAAATAGGTCGCTTAGTCTTATTATCATGACAGAAATAACAAGCATTTAACAATACTGCAAGTGTATCTTTAAAATTACTTTTTGCCTCAGTCTCTGATAATAACTCAGTGATTATAATAAAAAACTGTCCTGCATTTTAAAATGTATTAGATGTTTTACATACTGCACTATCTTTAAATGACACAACTGTTTCTGTTTGTTTGCAAATATATGACAACGTTGAGTTTCAGCATGTAATTTCTCTTTGCTCTCGTAAGCCCAGAGCAGCTCATCGTCCCCCAAAAAACTTGACCCCATCATGTAACAGGGAGCTGCAGGTCCAGCAGGAGAGCCGCATCCCAGCCCTCCCCACAGGACTCAACCTTTCATCAGAGTGTTTGTGTGAGCAAACCCACACTCTCTTACTGATCCGACCCTGACCCACACGCTGTTCACCCAGCCTGGTGTTGAGCGGTGGGAGTATGCTGCTGTGTTTCGCTCTCTGTTTGTTTAAGAGATTAAGGTGGTGAACCCCGGCCCTGTGGAGTCCCTGCACTGAATACCACAAGAGCTGCTCAGCAATGTCTCTGTCACTACTGCTGGTGAGGGTATGAAATTAAAAGTTTATTAGATTATCAAAGAATAGGTCTAAAATTAAATGTGTGCAGCAATTTCTGCACTGCAAAAACCTAAGATCCAAAAATAACTGTCCAACAAAACATGTCCAGCAAGTAGCACCAACAATTCCTTGAAGGCATTTAAAACCAATTCAAACAATGAACGATTTATTTATTTTTTTATGTCATGGCCTGGTTATTCTTGTCTCTCGGGTTGCGTCCAGGGATTATGATGATGGCCTATATTTTGCATGCTGAAATCACAGGTCTGCCTTTGTCTGGAGAACATTTACATCTCTTAACACAGCTGGCTGGTCCAACCACTGGCACAAAACAAACAAGGAAGTAAGATAGAAAAACAACACATAGGTTAAGTTACCACTAAAGAAGCCTTTTAGTGTTGAACGTCAAAACAACATACGCCATTTTGGACTTTTTAAAGTAAACTGAGGTTGGCTTAAAAGGGACATTTGAATTTTATGAGGAAGTGGTGTTTATTTTGACAGTTTATGTCTACAGTCTAATAAACGGCCTGTCACTGATAGGTGCTGGTTTATAGAATACGGGGAATTAAATCTGTAATCTGTCAATGTTGGTTGAATAACAAGAGATTAAAAATATCCAAACCAAAAGACAGATTTGAATTTGGATGGCATACCTTTTCATAACAATATATAGTCTATGTCTTATACTTCAATTTCAAAATAAACCAAATCCCTCCAAATAGAGCTTTCAACCATAAAGCAGGCAGACTTTGTCAAACATGAACAATAGACCCTTCCAAAGCTCAGGTATGTTGAGAGCATGTGATGTTAGAGGGGGGGGCGTGGCTCCTCAGGTGCTCTGTGGAGGTAAAACACTCCTCAGGTAAAGCTGCGTGACTCATTCTAACTAACACACACCTTAAACTACCTGCATGGCGATCACACGCCTCCACTCTTCAGCTTAGCCTGACAACACAGTTTGGGAATAAGCTGAATGACAAACAGCATTTGATGAAACATCAGCTCTTGCAAAAGAAGATAACTTCTACATGTAAAGAACTGCTGGATTTGGACTCAAGGACAGTGAGTTCAAAGAAACAAATGTGATATCTGACAAGATCTCCTGTTTTGAAATCCACTGTCCAGGATTTTATTGTTTTCTTCAGACAGAGGGATCCCGTGACAAAACTCTGGAAGTAATTTTACCGTGCAGAATTTGCACTAAATTCATATTTTTAAAATTCTTTTGAGGGACAATTTTTTCTGCCAATGACAATGCCAGTGGTCAAAGTGGAAAAAGAGTCTGCGGCAGACACCAGCTTGCCTGCCTCCAACCCTCCTCCGCAGACAGAGGAACAGCCCAGAGGTCGCAGAAGGAAGAGACCGATACAGCGAGGGAAACCCCCTTACAGCTACATCGCACTCATCTCCATGGCCATCGCCAACTCTCCTGATCGCAAGCTGACTTTAGGCGGCATCTACAAGTTCATCACAGAGCGCTTCCCCTTCTACAGAGACAATTCCAAGAAATGGCAGAACTCAATCCGCCATAACTTGACTCTCAATGATTGCTTTATCAAGATTCCTCGAGAGCCCGGCCGGCCAGGGAAGGGGAATTACTGGGCTCTGGACCCCAACGCAGAGGACATGTTTGAGAGCGGCAGTTTCCTGAGGCGCAGGAAGAGGTTCAAGCGTTGTGACTTCAGCACCTACACCTCATACGTCCATGAGACGCCAGTCTTCTCTCCGGTCCAGATCACTAGGTCAGCCGCATACACCAACACTGTCTACCCCAACATGACGGTGAGCCCAACCTACGGTCAGCAGCTGCCCTCCGCCTACTACCCTTCATCTTCTCCACCTGGGTTTGGACATGGTCAGGCCCGCATGTTCAGCATCAATAACCTCATAGGACACCCAACTTCAGCTAGCATGCTGGGAGGTCAAGGGCCAGAGGTGATGCAGCAGCCAGGCAGAAATTTCAGTCCAGAGGGGCTCCCAAACGGATCAAGTCCCTGCAGCCTGGGAGCCCCTGCTTTCCCGGGCCAACCATGCGGAGGGGCCGTATCATCTCGAACATCAACCCACCCCGGGTTCACCTACTCTGGTCCAAACAGCCACCCACACCACCATCACTCCCATCAGGGCTTGAATGGACAGAACCATACCCAGGGGTACATGGCGACAGGACGCATCCATTCCTCTGCTCATGGCTCTGCGGAGTCCATGGACCATTACGACAGGGTGTCCCCAGTGCAGCTGGGCTCATTCTCCCAGTATAACAGTGCTGCAGGTCCCCTCCCCAGCACTGGGGGTTACCTGAGACACCCCACATACCCCGGGAACATGGACAGGTTTGTGTCTGCCATCTGAGCTGCTCGAAATCTCGAGCCGAGGATCTCTCTACTGTGTAGCCAGACGTGCGCACACAGGGTTTTACTTTGATCCTGACAATTGTTAAGGACAAATATGAACAGACTGTTTCAAAATGTCTCCTGTCACCAATGTGATTTAAGACTGTAGCGTGAAAAAAAAAGAAAACATTTGTAGATATTTGATAGACTAAACTTTAAAAAGGGAATTAAATGTCACTGCTCTTCAAGGCACATAGAAGTGTAACATTTGTTAAATGTGTGTGGTTTAAAGCTTTTGTTGTTGTTGTTGTTGTTTCATATTTTTATTTTACCGCTGACGTAAAGTGACAGACTTTGAATTTTTTTTGTTATAAATTATTGTTTTATCGTCATAGGCTTTGAAAAAGTGGCTTGTATGAAGAACATCAGCTTTAGTACATTTGCATGTATTTTGTTGTCAAATTAAAATGCATATCAGGTTGCCCTTTGGAAATAAACGGAATTAAATAACAAATTTTGCTCTGTAATTTTAATAAATGACATATAATTGCTTGTGAAGGCCAAAATATTAGACAACAAATTACTGTTACTGGTTTGATGGCTATGATTTGGTTTACAGCCAGGTGACAGAAGCTACGCACATATGGAATTTTGTTAGATTTTTAATAATTTCAATTTAATTTAGATTGATTACAAAAGTACAAGTAGAGACAGATTGAGAAATACGATGCCGGGAACAAAAAAAGTTCCCTCCAACATTTTTGTCTTTTGTGTTTTCTTTGCCGTTTCAGCTCAGCTGGTTTGAAGTGTTGTCTGGAGCCAGTTTTTCCACCGTGACCTCAATTATTATGTCCAGACATCAACATGACACTCAGACAGACACAGTTAATCTACCACGCAGATCCACTAATCAAGCAAATGAATTGACTTGTAACTGGATATTTCAGCCTGCAAAGTTAAGTAGTGGGAGTCCTTTATCTCAACCTGCCTCACTAAAGGTCTGCATTTCATACAAGTTAAGACTCGTGAGGAAAAGCTTCAATAGTGAGAAACTTGATTTTTCTATCAGAAAAAAAGCTTTGTTGACGGACATGACTTGAAGTGATGTTTCTGAAAAAAGAATCCCTAGTTGAAAGAGTCGTAGTTTCTCTTAAGTGCTGCTGAATCTTAAAATCTGTGTGGATTAAATGAGGATTGGTGTTATCGGCAAATGTCAACATATACCTTCAGACAGGCAGTTGTTAGTTACTCTAAGGCCTGAACTCTAGAATAACAGGGGTTATCTCAACCAAGATTTGGTTACCTTGGATTATGCTCCAATAGCTAAGAACAAGTGATTCTTATCAAATAAATGTGGACATACTAACCATCTTATTGAGCTTCACAATACAAAGAAAAAAAAATACTGTGTGCAGGAACATTAGACATGACAAATAGGAAAGTCTAGCTTTCTGCAGCCTAAAGTGCTAATTTAATTAAAAACTCAAATAAATGCAACTATGCTTACTGATAACTGGTGAAAATAAACATTGAAAAACAAAAGCACAAGGACAGGAAACATTTTCTGTACTAAATTGTATGTTTTGCATTTCTTTTACCATCTCTAAAAACAAAATAGCAACACCAAAGAGCTATGGGATTCTCCACTGCATTGCCTACAAGCTGACAATACTGGGTCAAGATGATGAATTCTTTCACTTATATTAGAAAGAAATGCACTACACCCCCGTTTGTTACATTCACGATCCAGCTTGTGTCAACACACTTGCGCTCTCAGCATACTGTGTCAAACAAAAACAATATATACATGAGCAATTTAAAGTAAATCCCTGTATTTCTGATGAAAAGCAGATTAAAACATCTGTGTTGTTTATCACTGCATCTGCTCCTGAAATGGAAATAATAAAACACACAAAGGAACACAGATTATCTATTAGACATTAACATTTTATTTCAATCATACTAAATATATTTAAAATGACAGCGAGATCAAACTAAAACAAACAAGAGACATAAATACAATTAACAGAGAACAATAACAAACATGTCAGCCGATGTATTCAACAAGTTGTTGGAGTTGTTCAGAATTCTCCACGACTTCCGGCAAAGACAGCAGAGTCTATGAGGAGAAATAGTCATTATACACAAATAAAAACACACCTCTGCAGTGTTTGGAGGAAATTAAAACATGCAGAATGAAAAGCGTCTCTCACCTCTCGGACTCTATTTATCATTTTATTTAACATCTGGAGCTCATTTTCACTTTTCTGCTGGTTGTTCTGATGGATGATTTGCTGTGACAAAAATAAAATATATATAATAATATAATTCTGGCATGAGGGCAGTTCAATCAGTCACTACCACGTTGTAATAAGCAGGTACTTACATGTCTTTTTGCTCTCTCAAGGAGTTTACCTTTGGCCTGCTCCACCTCCTGAAGACTCAACTTCAGTCTCTCCACCTAAGGGGAAAATATAAGAACTCAAGTATTGTCTTATACACAGTGTAAAAAGAATTAAAATACATATATTGTATCCTAGAAATCTTGCACTATAAGACAAAATAAATACTTCTTTCAATAGCTGGATCTTCTCCTCCATGAAAAGTGCAGGGTTAGCTGATTGGCCACCAGCTTTCTTTAACTCCCCCCGCAGGAACTGAGACTCCACCTTGGACTGCTGGAGAGATCGACGCAGCTCAACCACCTCCTTTCGCAATTCCTATGAAAAATAATAAAAAGGAAGTGTTATTTTCAGCCAAATAGATTGAGGTTTAAAAACAAAATATGTATTTAGATGCTTACATTACTGTCAGTCTTGTGTTTATTCAGCATTTCCTGGGCCTCTTGTATTTCTGACATCAACTTGATCACAGTTTTCTCGTCCTGTGTAAAGAGAAACAGTTTTTAAAGCAATGTTTCGGTGCTACTTCCTTTCAGTCGGCACCTTCCTGAAAGTAACAAGATATACACTTCTGTTACCAGAGCGTTCTGCTGCAGAGCCTGGCTGCCCTTCTCCATCAGGTTGTTTAGACGGTTAAGTTGATGCTTCAACTCCAACACCTCAGCCTCATGACTGCTGTTTGCAGCCTGCTGCTCCCTCTGCAGGACACAGCTGGAACAACAAGTCACATTTGTTTTTTGACAGAATCTACAACTACAACTTACATCACCTTAAATTTAAATTGAACAATGCTCTTTCTGATTGTAAAAAAGAAAAAATGTTACTAAAAACATTCATTCCTTTTATGTGGTAGCCCTATCCAATATAAATTCAGAACTCTTCATACTTAAAAAGACATTTTATTGCCACTTCTGTTTTACATATAGACCCATTTGACCTTTTTTTTCCTTCTGTTCTTAATAAACAAACATCTGCAAATCTCATTCATTTCCAGTTTTTAAAATTGAGCAGCTTTGCTTCTTTAAGTGTCTAATAAGAGAACTGATTCACCATCTTTGGGTTTTAGACCATTGGTCGGCTGAGAAAAGCTCTTTAAAAAGCCAATTATCCTTTCCGGGAGCTTTATAGACTTGTAGAGAAAAGTAGATTTGTTCAGTTTGGAGCTGAAGAGATCAGCTGTTTTGACAGTTCACAGTCAAGATATTTATTTTATTTCATTTATTAGGCAGAACAATTCCAAACACTTTAATGAAAGTGTTTAACTATTAAGTTTTTTGTTTGGATATGATCGTTTGAAAAATCAAATACATTTTCAGACATCCCCATGGCTCTGAAAACAAAGCAGTTACTAACAAATCCCAGAAATTAAACTCATTCATCAGTGATGGAAAATAAAACCTAGCCGTTATTAGACAAGGACAGGGATTCTAGTGATTCTAGATCTTACAATGTCTAGTAAGATCATTTTTATTTCATCACAAAATCTACATTTTGCAGCAGCACTTACATGGTGTTGTGCAGCTCCTCCAGTTGAGCCTCTTTACGCTCTCGCAGCAGCGTTATGTTGCTGATGAGTTCTGTGACGGTGCCGCTCAGGTCAGCAAACAGCTCTGCCTCGCCGCTCTGCTCGTCCTCCTCGGGCTCAAACTCCACTGCATTTAAAATCTTTTTAGGGGTGACGGCCGCAATACGAGTGAAGGCACTCGTCTGGCTGAACAGAGTTTCATCCTGAGGCAGGTCTGAGATGATTGGAGAGACAGTGAGCTACAGCTTAGAATCGCCATTGGCCAAAGTCGTTAAAACATTAAAGCCCGCCCTCAACTGAGTTCAAGATGTGTACCACAAGTTCAAGGTCACATGTAGGTGCAGTGTTTTCTGTGATGGTAGTTATTTTTATCTCTTTAAAGCCATTAACTGTCATGAACAACTAGCAAATACATTTTTGAAAAGGTATTTCTCTAAGAACATGCAGACCAGCTGCAGTACCTGCTGCAGGAGGCGTCTCAGCAACGTCTTCTTCCTCCTTCTCAGCAGTCAAAGCAACCATGATGCTGTCGACGAAGGAGCTGGAGGGATGACGACGCTCCGTGTTGTGGACCAGTTGAGATTTATTACCCTTCATTGGTTCTGGTGTCTGAAGGAAAGATAACGCTTCATCAAAATTATGTAACAGGCCACTTTTGTACTGTTTATTTTACTATAACAAAAAGAAACCTGAAGCTTCTCTCGTAAAACTGAAATCTCTATTGTACTCTATTGCGGCTTTGAGTTTCTAGAAAAGCGCTATATAAAACAAATTTATTATTATCATTAAGATTATTACTAGTAGTTGAATTACACAAAATGTGGTGACTCCTTGATGTTATTCATCTTGTTCTTATGAGCTACCTGTTCACTGAGAGCTGTGTGCAGTTCATTGGTCTGTCCTCGCAGTGTGTGATGCAGTAATGTTATTTCAGTGATGGCCTGTGCCAGTCTCTCTCGCAGCTCCAGCTGGGTTGTACTGGCTTTGGACCTTGTGGTTTCCAGCTCCTCCAGCAAACGTCTGTACTCAAGCCTGAATCACAAACACAAATGATGACAGGTAAGCATTTATTATACAATGATTAGGACCCATTTTGTTAATGTTATAGCTGAGTGACTTCCCCCAAATAAATACTTAGCTAATGTCCAATGCCACTAACTAAATACAAAGTATTCTACCTTCTGCAAAGAACTTTCTGTTCTAAGCAAAACATTTCAAAAAAAGCTTTTTGCTACATCCATCAGACACAAGTGATGTTGTGAAACCGACAGATGCAACCAACTTAATCCAATCCAACTTTGTCAAAATATCTTAAATGAAAAGGTAAACTAATCTTATTGTCATCTTTAATGACAAACACCTAAAAATATTAAACATGTTTGGTTTTAGACTTACTGAAGTTGACCAAGTTCTCTCTTCAGGTCCTCACACTGGAGGTTCCTCTCCCGGAGACCGTGCAGGTTGGCCCTCAGCCCACGCTCACTTTCACTCATCTGCTCCCTCGCCAGCTCATTCTCCATTTGTAAGAACTGAGACACACAGACACGGACAACAGGAAGTTAAACCCTGAATCCCCTGACTAACAGCAGTCTGAGTATATAAACCTGAAGAAGTGATGTCATTCAAAACACATGATGATGAAAGCACTCCTCCTTTACTGCTTGAGAGTAATTAGGGACTAATGCATGCTTTTATAACTAACAGGCTAGACTATTGTAACGCTCTCCTGGTCTATTTAAATCAGCTACAGTTAACACAAAAACTCTGCTGCACGAGTACGGACAAAGACCAAAAGGAGTACACACATTACGCCTATTTTAAAGTCTTTACGCTGTGTTAGTTTTTGTATTGATTTGAAATGGATTGTTCTAGTTTATGAGGCACTACACGGCCTTGCACCAGACTACCTTTCAGAAATAGTTTTATATAGTTTCTCTTAGATCGTCTGGTCCTCCCCTTTTAGCTGTTCCACAAACCACAACACAATCGTTTGGTGAGGCTGACTTCAGCTGTTTTACTCGGAGACGGTCGAACAGTAGTACTTCTGCATTTTATGTTTATCAATCAAATTTACTTACTTTATTATCAATATTATCATGCTATTCTGCAATTAAATTAAGACTAGTGTTTTAATTGTGGGTTTTTTTGTAGTACCGGTATTTATATTTATCTTTTTTTAATGTCATATTCTTTACAATTTGTGGCATTTACCTTTTTTTTTTTTTTTAAACTATCTTTAACACTATTTCATTAATATTTTAATGTATTCTAATAATCCATCTTTTATTCTATTGAATTCTTATTGGTGTGCATTAGTCTGTAAATCATTTCTTAGCATTCTACCTTTCTTCAGTCATGTTAAACGCTCCCTTTGTAAAACACTTTGAACTGCAATTGAACTTGCCTGAAAGGAGCAAAATCAATAAAGTTTGATTGATGATTTATTTCAGTCTCTTTAGAGAAGACGAGCAGTAAGAGGAGAGGATTCTTGTTTGTATCCCAAACATTAAGAGAGGAGTCCCGACATAAGAACCACTGACAGGTGTAGTAAAACATTGATCATCATGTGACAATGGCAGCCGTCATAGGATGGCATAATGTATACAAAAGCAAACCTCGTTCTCCTCCCGGACGCCGCTGAGTTGTGTGCAAACATCCTGGAGCTGCTGGATCTGCACGTTCTGGGATTGTGAAAGGACCTGCAGCTGACTAAGCTGCTCCTCGCTTCCAGCCAGAGCCTGACTCAACTCACACACACGCTGCTCCGACTCAGCCAGCCAGCCCTCCAACCTGGAAGCAGAAACACAATCAGAGGAATACGTTTCAGGGTTTCAGATCGTATTTGCAGATTTGTTTAGAGAGAAGTTGTTCTGCTCTCAGATAAGATAGTTGCTTTCAGGTTTATGTATCTGCAACTTCTGAAGGGATGCTTGTTACGTTGTGTTCTGCAAATGGACAACTGTGAAGGTGTTTGTCAGCAGCTGAGAGAAAAATAAGTTCCTAACTTATTTAACAGAGCATATAAAAAATAAAATGTAAATGCAATCAATGTATTAAAAAAACATGAAGTTAACAAGAATTGTAGCGATAACATAAACTTTTCTTGAGAATTGTTTCTCCATACCTAAATTTAACCCATTTCATGCTGAAGTAATTGATTTAATCTCTAATGAATTGATCAAATCAGTGCCTGCTTACTCATTCACTCTGTCCTTGGAAAGCTGGATGTCCTTCCATGACTGCTGCAACCTGAAACAACAACAGTTTTTAGTACCCGACTTCTGAGGTTCAATATTTATTTTCTTTTTCGTCTTCCAAACAGCACCCCATAAAAAAATGTCAGTAGTTAAAAAAAAAAAAAAAAAAAGAAGAAGACAATATTCCTGAGCACATGTGCCACAGCATACAGCATGGTGTCGGGGTCATACTTTGTGGTCTCAGCAGCAAAGGCCTGCTCCAGGAAGGTGTACGAGGCCAAAGAGGAGGAAACGGTAGCAGAAAGCTCCGTCACCTTCCTCTCCAACTGACCCCTCTCTTGGTCTCTTTCTGCTAACTTCTGACGCAGCACACCCATCTCTGGAATTTATCACAAAGAAAAACATATATAAGCAACTTTACAGGATGGCAAGGCAGAAAAAAATACTTTACGCAGCTGTTTGTAAAGAAACAAATATATTTCTGTTTTTACCTGAGGTCAGAATTGTCACCTGCAGATTTAAATCACTAATCTGTTCTCTGGCAGTTTGGAGATCTAAGTTAGCTTGGTTCCATTCTTCTTCAATCTGTTTGGTAGAAACAGTCTAATGAACTTTGGGATAGGGAGCCAGAAAAGCAGGACAACAAGTGTCTTCTTTAAGTTTAGACGACAGACCTGTTCTCTCTCTTCCACAGCTTGGTCTCTCTCAGCAATGTGCTCATCTCGCTCTCTCAAAGCAGCAGCAGCCTTCTCATTCAGCTTCAAGAGAAGGGGAGCGGCTCTCTGCAGAAGCCCTCTGACTGTGCAGAGCTGTCAAAGAGGTCGGCCACATAGGGAGGTAGAGTAATACAAAGAGTACATGAGTGTTCAAATATAAGACATCATACTGCAATAATAGCGGGAATGTGAAAAGCTTGTAAGAATGTTTCATTTGTTACAGTGGCAGATTGTAACATTTGGCAAAAAACACTGACAGAAGGTAAGCTCCATGCCTACAGGGTTAGTCTGAGTCTCTGAAAAAAGAAATGCTGAGCTTACTTCTTTCATTAAACTGGAGTGGTCCTCTTTGGTTGTTGACAAAACATCATAGGCAGAGTCCAGTATTTCAGTGTAGACCCTGTTTAATGCAACCTGTATCAGAAGCAGAAATAATGACATCAATCACATTCCGATGGATTGTTATGCTGGTTAGATTCCAAGATGGATGTTTGCTCTCTGCCTGCTCTCAGTACCTGTTTAGGGTAAGTCTGATTCAGGACAGTTAACAGTTCTTGATGTGACCCAACGATCTTCTCCAGTTCTGAGATTTCTGTAGCACTGTGTGTCCTTAGCTGTTCCATCGCACTGAAGGCCTGGAAAAAAAGACAAACGAGTCACAAATGTAACGTCCCTGGAATGAAGAATCTAATAAAAAGAATCACTGGAATATAACCATGTCAAAGATTGACTTTGGAAAGCAGTGTCATTAGACTACAATATCAGTTCTGCACTTGCAAGTCCAAAGACAGAAAACTACTAATCCTGCTGAATAAAACATAATGTAGAGAAATGGTTACTGTTACTTTTTGAATGTAAGGGTCAGCTCTTGTGTAGTGATTGGCAGATCGCCGACTTATTATTTGTGACAAAAAGCTTTGACGCTTCAGGCTCCGCAAACACCAGACCTTCACTAGGAGATGGAGAACCACCACGGCTCACTGATATTTAAAGTGTTAGCCTCGCATGTCAACAATTAAATGCAAAGAAGACAGCATGTTTTAAAACCAAACTTTTTTTTTTTGTTTTACATTTTAATGAGTATAATACTGAAGCATGTGTTGCATTAAATTACTTTGGTTTTGTCTGAACAAACTTAATACAAAATCTTTCTGTGGAATGACCCTATTAGAGTTACCTTATTGTATCTCTCCCACAAAAATGAAAAACTAAAAAAAAAAAGCTCATTCCAACTTCAGTGAGGCAAAATAAACACTAAACACGTGATGCAGCCTTCAGTGATGCCACTTGAACAAAGACTGAAATAGTGTAAGAACTTAAAAACCAAACCAACATTGAACTACTAAGATAACTGTGCTTACCGCCTCTTTGGCTGAAAAGGCTTCCTCCATCTGCATCCTCATGTCATCTCTTTGATGAAAAGCGTCTTTTACCTTCTGCATCATTACCGTCTGTGTCTCCTTCGATTTCTCAAATAATGATTTCATCTGACCGTACTGAACAAAACAGACATAATACACAAACTGTGAGATTAATATATAAAAGCATGCATTTGGGTTGACAGAAGTACAAGAGACTTGTTTACATACATGAGAAACAAGGCTTTGATGATCCTCTCTGACAACGTTTTCTATTTTCTTCATGTTGGTGAGAGCAGCATCGGTGTCACAACCCAGAGAAGTCTGTTGGGACGAATACACATAGTTACCTGTTTCTTGAAATCAACATCATGTGTGGCCATATTTTCCCCACATTAGATCATGCGAATATTTTGAATTCAACATAATTTCACTAAATGTATGTAGAGGTGAAGAAGTGCTAAAAAAAAGGAACTTGCCAGAGCCTTTTATTGATAAGGTTAAATCAATAAAGTGAGCCAAACAGAACCTGTGTTGTGTGATTGTTGTGTCTTACCATGGTGACCTTCATGTCCTGCATACAGGTGATGAGGCTCTGCAGCGAACTTCCTCCCAGCTCCAACTCACCGATCCTCCTCAGAGCCTCCAAATACAGATCTCTGTGCATTGTGGTCTAAATTTAAAACAGAAATCGTGGCGTTTAAAAGATGTGTTGCCGAATTGAAGGAATATCAAGATATCATGATTAATTGAATTTTAAAAAGTACGGCACTTAAGATTTTAAATATTACATTTTCCGCCTATCAAAAGTGTCTGAATGTGCCCTTACCTGACTGAGTTCAGTGTGGTCTGTCTGCACTAGTTTCTCCCTGAGGTCTGAGGGTGCAGGTCCTGCAGAGGGAGAAGTCCTGGCTGCAGACAACTGCTGCACCAGAGCCTCCACCATGATCATGCTCGACCTTAACCTCCGCTCAAGCTCTTCTCTGGGGAGACACTCAATGCTTCCTGGAGGTACACTGTGAAGAAAGAGGAAGAGGCAGATTAAAAATAAACCAACGCACAAAGCTGAATTAGTCATGTTGTAATCAGAAAACCAACATTTTTGCATATAGCTTCTCAAGACTGGACACTTACTTCCACAAGAGAGGGTCGGTCAGAGTGCAAGAATCGACTGTAGAGAACTCCCTCTTCCTTTCAAATTTCCCAGATGTATTGACGCTGTGGTCTACCTGTTTCATAGGACTTGTTCCCACACAGGCACTGTGGGATTCCGTAGGAGTAGCTCTTGTTGACGGGATTGAAACAGCAGGTGGAGGAAGTACAGGAGCAGACACAGTAGCAGGGCCCATTTTTCCTGATGCCAAAAAGAGAAACTCTGCCATCTGCCGGAGCTGCTGCTGAAGGGGACCATCTGGAATCATAGGGAAATCTGGAACCAGCTTCTCTACTTCAGGCTGAAGAGCTGCACCAGGATTCAAATCCACATCCTCGTCTGGTTCCGTGAGTGGGTCTGGCTTGGCCTTGTAACCCAGTGCTGTAGAGTTCAAAAGAGGGCGTGGCATGGGACTCTCCAAATTCTCTGCCAATAAGCCAGCCGGGTTGAGGTTAACAGGAGCCAAGAAACTCCTCTCCCCCTCGAGAACAGAATCTTCTGCTAAAAATCTGTGGCCCTCAGTGTCCTTACGAGCCTTCAATAGAAGCAGAGAGGCTCTCCTAACAACAGGACTGAGGAATCCAAACGGTAAGGCTGATGCCACAGAGGGAAACTCTGACAGCACTTTGAAAACGTCAGGGAGGTTATCTGCAGAAGGTTTTTCAGCAGACTTAAAAAGAACAGCGTTTTCAGATGAACCAAGAGCGCTGTCTTTTGCCTCACTGGAGCCATTGGATCTATTACCCAAGGGCGAGTCAGAGCAGCGTTCCTGATGCACTTCTGCAGGTATAGGAGCCTCGACTGAAGTTGCAAGATGGCTGCTGTCAGGAGATTTGGTTTTATGAAGCATTGAAAACAATGCAACGTCTTCAGGGTTTGAGTCCTTTTTTGGTGTTTCTTGCATTTGACAGATATCCGATTTGTTCTGCAACACTTTTAAAGATCTGTTACAAGTAGAAGAACTTAGAGTTGGTGGGTCAATATCTTGTTCTTCTTTAGCTTGAATCTGATCCTGTGTAACAGAGGTTGGCACAAATTGGACATCCAGTGACTGGTAGACCACTGCCTCATCTTCAGGCAGAGAGGACGTCAAATGAGTCAATCCGGTGCCATTGGACTGTTCGGCCTCAAATCTTACACTACTTAAAGAGTCAGATATAAAGCCGTTTTGTCTTCCAGTCTGGCTATCTTGTAGCACCAAGCTGAGCTGTTTAACCTCACTCACTGCATCAAGACTGATTGGTTCCTGTGTAATGGAGAGGTCACCACGTGGGGTTGACTGGGAATTTTCCGTATAACAGTATAGATGATCCAAGTGATCGTCACTCTTTTGCATGTCTTGGTCATTAGGTAATATGCTGGGATCTGGCCCATAATTGTATGACTCACTGCATATCACAGTTTGGTCAGCTTGGAGAGGAACTGTCTCTTCTACAGGTTCAGTGCCCTCTGGAATTTCAATCTCACCTCCAGTGCAGTTAAAAGATTTGAAAGTTAGGTTACTCACTCCACCTTCGGGCTTTTCAGTATCACTTGTGGTTTCAGAGAGGCTGGTGATGACGGAGGCGCCATTTTCCCTGCTACAGTAGGGATGCTCTGCATGTTCGGCTTCAAAAAGCTGACCAGAGACAGAGAGATTTGATTGATTTACACTGACGTCTCCTAAAGGTTCACCGAGCTGTTCCCAGGGCAGAGGGACGGTCTCGTCTCGTAGTCCGGTCACATCGGAAACTTCAACCTCACAACCATCGCAGACAAAAGATTTCCAAGTTATGTTTACTTGTAAATCTTGTGTGGCACTTCTGTCATCGGAGTCTCCAGAGTCTGGTGTGCTGTTTTCAACCGAGGAAGCATCGTTCATCTCAAGCTTGTAATAGTGGTGATCTATTTGGTCACTGCCTGACTGAACAATGATGCTTTCAGAGAGGACAGTATCTTCTGCTTCAAAATAATTTTTAAAATCCTGATCTTTGGGCAGAATAATACTCTCTTCTGCACACAATAAAGAACCTGCCATCTCAACTTCCCCACCTGGACAGATGAAGGATTTAAATGTTACATCTCCAATTCCACAAGCCGTGTCAGTAGTTGTCATATCAGAAGTGGACGGATAGTTTTTTATGTCTTTTGCTGTGGGAGGAGATGGCAAGTGGGGCTCTTGGTCACAGAAAGGAACATCAGCCTGTTGATAAGAATGACTGTATTTAATGGAAAGAGATTGGAACCAACAGGGGAATTTCCGAAGAATTATTTAAACCCACCTTTGTTGTTTTAACCACATCATTATTGAGAAGTGATTTTGATTTGACCCTTGATGATGGTGTTGACAGATGGAGCCTTTCGTTATCCAGACTTCTCAAGGGGGTACGCTCTCTGCTCAAAGGCTAAAAAAAAAAAACACACACACAATCATTGCCTTGTTTGAATATAGATTCATAATAATAATAATAATAATAATAATAATAATAAAGGTGTGGATGAAAAAACGCTTACCAAGCCTTCCCCACTGGAACCTGAACTTCTTGAGGACATCACTCTGGAGTGCAAAGAAATGGGGACACATAATTGTTTGAACCTGTTCAAAAACTTGTTTGAACTTACCTGCATTGAGTTGTTTCAACTGCATTAAGTTAGTTTGTGTATAGTCGTCATGTTAAATCGCAGGATAGATAAGAAGATATTATTTTAAAGTACATTATGTTCAATCAGTGCAGGCAGATGACCAGAGGTAATGTTAGACGTTTTAGCGCATTAATGTGTACTTATAACCAGACAAAATGCACATGGAAAAAATAATTAATCATTTCGTATTTAGTTCTTTATAAAATAATCAAAAAGTGGACTAGTAATCTACTTTAGGAAAGAGTTAGTGTTACCAGTGGGAAGCTACCGTTCGTTGACATAAGTTTACAAAAACTAGAGGCGATGAAAAGTTAACCATTTAAGTAAACCATGTAGCAGTTAAAATCATTTAAAAGTATATTACCTTTTATATTTTGACTGCCAACTTCAACCAAAGTCAAAAGAGAGGAGAATAAAACAACGTTAACGTCATAAACAAACGTCGCGTCGAGCTGCCGTCAACCGCGTTTCATTCAAAACAAAACTGTCCCTTTTGCTATTGGTCCGTTTTTCTTCTTCGGTTGAGACGAATTGGGAGCACACATATAGTGTTATGCACACTGCTGCCCCCCCACCTGGACGTCAATGGCACTACATCAGGACACGTCGTCAATGATGCGGCGTAAACTACATTACAGTCGAGCTAAAACTGAAGTTATGTGTGGTCACTTTGGTAAAGTAAAGAAAAACAGTAATACGAATATATAAATTGCAAGAAAAAACAGATAAGTCCTCTCATTCATGTCCATTCAGTTATTTTTCCTGACGGTCAACATCCAATATAAAAAAAAGTGTAAATTAGGTAAATATAATATTGTGATAGATAATGCTTTAGGTAGCTACACCAGAATGGTAAAGTTTTGCCCCAAAAAGTAATTCGTTTACAACTATTTAAATAATATAGATTTACTCGGCAGGAATGAAATCCATGCATAGCTCATGAGAAGTACTTTGACAATTTACAATTCTGAGTAAACATTCATTTAAATTTGTATCCCAACACATTGGCAACTTTTCAGCTTATTGTCAGTGAAAACACATTAAGAGGTACAAAACATGATGGAGCATTTCTATTTCAAATATGATTTATTTAATAACTCATAAGCTTTTTCCATGTGACTTGATTTTACCCAAGTCAACAAGATCCATCTTCTTCCTAAAATACACGAGTGTTCCATGAAAAAATGTTGAGTTGATGAACATTTAGTAGAACGTAAACTAACATCTATGGATATATTCAGTGGAATTGTTTCTGACATTCAGGCGACGTGTTGCTCAACAAGGTCGGACCTGCAACACCTCAGCAAAGCCTCGTCCAAACCAGCAGGTGATGTCGACTGTATCCAGGGTGAAGTAGAAGAGTCTGTCTCTGCAGCGTGTCCTCCTGTAGACTGAGCGAGGGTCTGCTGACAGCACCCCTCTGATGGCAGCAGCAGCCTCTTCTGGACCCTGTAGAAACTTGAACCTGGGTCTGTTACTGTCAGAGGGTCCTCCTGTGTGACATGAGAGTTGGTTTTTCCAATGGCAGCAATCTGTTATGCTACTTGTACTACTCTTTTACAACAGCGCTTTGATCATATTTTAATCTGTAAATTTGGTTTACCTGACAGGTGTGCAGGAAGGAACTCTGCTAACTCCCTCTCAGCATTAGGAGTGAAACGCACATCCAGACTTCCAACAGGAGGCTCTCTAATCCAGCCGGCAATGGTGCTGTAGGCCTCTTCTCCATAGCAGAGGCGGTCCGAAGTCGACTCCTGTGGTTTAGTTTTTGGCGACTCTAAAACTTGATCCTCACTCGCACAACTCAGCTGACAAACTTCCCCCTGGGTTACAAAGGTCTTGACCTCCTCCAGCACACTTTGCAGGACTTTAGGAAGGGCAAACTGAGCACCAACTCTGGAATCTGACACCGGAACATCTACTTCAGATTTTTCTCTTGAGAGGAGAGTTCCCAAGTCATCTTCTTTGTCAGTTCTTGCAGTTTTTAGACCTGACTGAGGATCTGTTTCCGAGTCTTCATCGAGTTTTAATTTGCCTGTGGTCTCATTTAGTGACACAGCAGTTGAATGTAGTTGGTCTTTATTAGAATCACAGGACTCTGAGTCCAGAACCATCCTGGTTTGAGGGGAGTCATACTCTGGGATGTAGGGTTTGATGTCCAGGACTGGGGTGCCAGCAATCATGTCAATGTCTGACAGATGTACTGTATCTCCTAAAAAAAATAAAGGTGGGAATGAATTTACATGAATCTGAACATGAAGTCTTCTAGTTTATTTAATATCAATACAAATGGAATACTATATTTTATTCATTTCTGTAGTATTTCTTTACTTAAAATGTTTACATTATGGAGGGTGGGTGTTGGGAGGGTAAATGTGTGTTTATGATTTTATTGTTTTGTTTTTCTGTTTAATTGGGGCTTTTTGTTTTTACTCTATGCAGATGTTCTGATTTACTTCTATGTGACATCATATTATTCTGTCTGCAAAAAATTAACAAAAAGAGTTGGGGGAAAAAAAACAAACTGTTTACATTCTGCTACAGATTTACATTGTCCTCAAAAAGAGACATGACACAGTTAACAATTAAAGAGACACACTTGTTAACTGATACTTACCAACAATTTTATCGAGTTTTGCCAGAGTTAGGCCCAGTACATTTGGACGGTGCGGACTGCGTGTGGAGTACACACCCACTCTCTGACCGTTGAGTCGAGGAGGCTTCACTTTGGCTTTGTAGCTCAGGTGTCCATTTTTGTGAAAGAGGAAGATAATCCTGTGAAGACCAAATTGGTAAAACATACAAGTCCCATGAGATTAAATTTAGAGGCATGAATGGGTTGTTAGGGTTCTACTGAGCAAGGAAATAAATCCTCGATCCTCAACCTACAAGTGCAGCATACGAAGAAATAACCCCAAAAACCTTTACTTCTTCTTAGGGAAAAAAAAGAATGGTACTAAAAATGGTTTGAAAAGTGTTAAAGTCATATGTGGTGCAATTTAATTAAAAAATATAAATGGTTTTGTGCAGACTCTTGACATCACATAAATACATAATTCCCAAAAGATGCACTGAACTAATCCTTCATTAAAATTGAACACAAAACATCAATTAGGTAAAAGTGACAGGGGGTCACTAAATCTGACAGCAACAACTTAAGATTTTTACTCATACTGTATTTTGGGTTACAGACTTCCCAATCGTACAAGACTGTGGATTTAGGAGAAGAAAAACTCTATGTGACCAACCAGACGTGGGAGTATTGCTCGAGGCCCACCAAAGCGTGCTCAGGGTTATTGAAGACACTCTGCTGGATGCGCAGCTCTGCCCTCGAGGGGCCACATACGGTGGGCTGTCTGGGGGTCCCATTCTTCACAGAGAAACAGGAACTTATGTATCCGATTGGGACTGTCTGGATGGATCCTGAAAAGTTCATAGTAACCCAAAGTCTTACCAGTCACGTAACATAGCAATGCACATCACTCAAGTACTGTGCTGCAAATATGACAAACTGCTGAAATCATTTCGTTTTTCTTGCCACTCCGTACTTTCAGTCTGTTGCACTTGATATATGAAAAATAAAAGTTGTTCACAACAAAATGAATAATTACTGACAGTCCTTTACAAAATTGGATAGTTGAAAATGAGCTGCACTTACTTGAACTTAGTGCATGGGTAATAATAATGTTATGTTAATAGCATAAGCAATTTCTCTGAGCTGGTCACCTTTTATACTTTCACAGCATTTTTATGATGACACAATTTTACTGAAGACACTTTTTAATCATAGGGAGTTATGTATTATTGTACTTCAGTTAAGTATCAGAACACTATTTCTGACAAAGTTAAATTGAATCCATTTTAGTTTGAAGCAATCATGTGAATTTCCACAACAACTTATATGATTATAAAATGGGAAAAATGTCTGAAAGGATTTCTGGTGATGTTCTGGTTACTGTAGACTCTGCACGTAGCTTTTCACACAACTACCTTGCTCCAATGCGGCCTGAGGTGATGTTAATGAAGGTGGTGGTGATGTTGTCTGGTCTTCATCTGGTTCACACAGTTTAATGTTTGACACAGCAGACTGAATGGATGTCATGTGTTTGCGATGCGCTCGAATTGCACTGGCCAACATCTCCCTGTGGGGAAAAAAAAGGAAGACAAGTAAATAAGTACAATGTCTGAAATGTACAAATGAAGTGTTGTGATAAACAAAGAAAAAAGGGCAACAGAGGGGGAAAAAAATCGCATGGTATATCAATTAAATATGTGAAGGTGATGATATTTATGTCCGAGGAGACACATAGTTTCAACAGATTGATTCTTCACTTGTTTACATGCTGCGATGTTGTGAACACAGCCTACCTCAGGTTCTTGATTTCTTTCCTCATCACAGACACCTGCTGATTGAGATTATTGATGTTCTCGACGCAGCTGTCACACAGAGGACTCATATTAGCGATAAAAAAAATTAAAAAATAAAAAAAAACCAGGGGGGGAAATAACACCTCTAAAGAAATTAGTTTTAGTGTGTCTCCTCGAGAGCTTCAGGCTGGTGAAACATGTGGGAGTCTACCTATGCGGAAGTGTGTTGCGGACTTCCTGTTGTTGAGAGATCACGTGACAACATTTCAAAGCTATATAAATCTAAAAAAAAAACATTAGAAGCGCAGATTTTTGTTGTTTTTTGCCATATCACGATGTTGCTATTGTTTCGTTAACGTATCTAAAAAAAAAACACACACACACAATTTAATATAAGACATATGAAAACGTTATTGAGAAACACACACAGGAGCAAAGCATTTTTAAGCCAGTAGAGGGCAGCACATACAACAATCTGTTTTTTTGTTTTTTTTAAAACCTTTATTTCAACACAATGAGTAGACACAACAGTCGTACACAGCAACGCGGAGATTTGATCGATTTATTCGATTGTTTTATGTTTAGATTTTACTCATTGACAATACATTGGATGTCCCAATAGGTATACAGATAGACAGCAGGTGATTGTAAACTGTGTATTTTATTAGGTGAAAACATATTCAATCAAATAAATCAATTTACATTTAGAAGGTCATCATTACCGGTGATTTATAACATTTTCAAAAGCTTTAGATGCAAACTAAAAAAAAAACAATTCATGAGCTTCGTCTTGAAGCAAAACCAGAATAAATAAGCACACAGGTTAGTTCTGAATTCATAAATTTACTAAATGAGTGATGAAAATGCTCAAATAGTTTGTTCTCTTTTAAAAAAAAAAAAAAAAAAGGCTGCACATTAAACAAAATAATAATCAGTAAAACCCTGATAGAAAAGGATGTAGTCTGGCTTTGTGTGAGGCAGAATCTGAAATGAGTGGTTTAGAAAATTAAAGTGAATTTCCAGGGAGATACTCTTGTGGAGGAGGCTGCGAGGACAAGGTTGAAACTGAGAACATTTTGTTTCCTTCAGGTGTGCTGTACGATGGTGTTCCACTCACATCTGAAACAGACAGTTTATATTAAGACAAATACAAAAGCATTTAACCACAATCTTATGATTAAGCTTATATTTCAACATCTTCCGATTTCAAAGAAATCTATGTTTTGGGCCATGTTTGCCTTTATTTGTTAGGACAAAATGTTGGGAGGAGAGAGTGAGGGATGATATGCAGCAAAGGTGTGAGGTCGAATTCGAGCATACGGCTGCTGCTGAGAGTGATTCAGCCTTTGTTCATGGGGCGTGCGACATAACCTCTAGGCTATCAGACCCCCCACATCCTTTAATTTTATTTCAATTTAAACATAACTTTTATTACCTTTGTCATCTCTTTGTTCTTGTGATACAGAGATGTCATCATCCTCATCTGGGCCCAAGTCCTCAATCAGGACTTGGTTAAGGGCCACTCTGCCATCCCTGCCTTGTCTTCCTGTGTAAAAAGACTTCACCTCGAGAGGGGCCACAGGAGGCGCAGCTGGAGCAGGGGTTTCAGTTGGTGCCAGGTCTGGGTCTGAGACTGGGACTTGAACAGCATCTGTATCAGTAGCTGGAGCCAAATCTGGGACAGAGATTGGAGCCGTTTCTAAAACGATGGCAGGAGAGGAAGCAGGAACTGAGGGAGGAACGATGGCTGTAGTTGGATTAAGTAGAGCAGAAGGAGTCAAAGCAGGAGCAAAGACAGGGTTTTGGATGGATCCAAACACTGGCAGAGGAGTTGGAGCGGCGAGGACAGAGGCTGGTTGTGATTCTAGAAAGCCTGATGCCTCATCTGGGATGACCACGAAAGGTTCAAGCAGTGCAGCAGGAGCTTCCTGAGGTACTGCTGTCTTGTCCTGACTGACAGATATCTCTGCTGTGGGCTCGTTCTTCTTGGGCCTCCCTCTACTCTTTGAACCACTCTTGTTCTGAGCGCTCTGTCTTTTCTTCGGACTTTCCGCCCTAAAACAGGACAACAATTGTAATCAACAGGACGTTGAAAGCTCTTTGTGACACACTGGCAAAGCCAATAGTACAAAGTCCTTGACCTCGATATGCGGTGTCAATAGAAACACCAGAGTATGCAACCTTTGATTCCCTCTTGCTACACATTCAATATAAAACAGAAGAGTGATAAGCCGCTGATAATGTTTTTAGTTTGTAGTGTACAGTCTTTTACAATGCAAGACTTGTTGAAGAATCCCAATATCACAAAATATTATTCAATCATGTTATAATTTCCATTCTTTCTTACAGCTGCAATAACACATTTTTGCACTGGTACATACTTAAATTTTAAGAATTCTCATGAATTTTTATGTATAACTTTAAATGAACATATATTAGCTGTAACTGTAAGTCACAGATCTGACATTGACTGTGCCTTTCTATCGCTTTACCCAAAAACCCACTGGTTTGTCTCCTTCTCTTCTGCTTCAGCCTTCCTCTTCTTGAGAAGATCCCTGTCCCGCAACCGTCGACCGATCCCTCCTATAAACAGAGACCCGTGCAAAGAAACCAATGTAACAAGACAGTGTGAAATTAAAGACAGACAGAGCTGGGTTGTTTTTTAACGCATGACTGAAAAATGTGAGAGTCTGATGTCCATTTTGTGGACATTATTATCTTTTTAGTTTCACACTGCAAAACTTTGACAGAAACATTTTCACCCTTAGGATTAAAATATTGTTACACAGAGACTAAACTTCTTTCTTTTTATGTAGTAATGCAGCTTAGATGATTAAAATATATGTTTCTTAGAAAAGAAAAACACCATACAGTGTGCAAATGAATAACTGACTCAGTCAGCTGTGCAGCATAAAAGCTGAAGCACGCAATATAAAAGGATAGAAGAAAACATTAAAAGTTCACCTTGGTCCTCGTTGGGATTTTTATAGTCCGACTCTTGTTTCTCTTGTTGCGAGGTCTCCTCCATTGTAAGTCCTGCTATGAATGAATTCAAGTCATTAATGGCGGGAAAGCACAGAAATGAAGACAGAGAAACCTGTGACTGTTTTCTATTCCCACCCCTAAAAAAATTATCTGGTTAAACATTACCATAGTGCTGGAAGAGTTCTTGCAGCTCTGGTCTTATCATATTTGTAAAGCTGGAGGAGTTGGCACAGTGCTGAACAGGAGAGAAAAAAAAGACTGAGGCAAGTTGATGTGATGTGTGGGCAGTGTGTAATAGGGATAAAAGAGGAAATACATTCAGAGGTGGGATTTTATAACTCACCACTAAAGGGAAATTTATTGGTCTATTGCTGTCTTAATTAAACTAGTGAATAAGCAGAAAATGAGGACTCGTCTGTTTTCTATGCACGTTTATCTGGAGGCTTAAAGCAAAAACGTTGCTGTTGCTTAGCAATGGCTAAAGTACAGAATTGAGATACATTCTTCATGTCTAAATTTCCAGATGTTGTTGGAAGGAAAGCAGCTTTTTAAGAGTTAAACAAGGTTCAGAATGAGATGTAAATTAGCCAAATGTATACATGTTAAAGCAGGATCAACAAGATGAGATGGATTTAAATTGATAAGAGGGGGGGACTTGGTTTTCTCAATATCTCAGGAATAGAAATAAAAGTGGATTCATATAGATGAATTTATGCAGAAAATACAGAATAAGAAGTATTGAAGCTCATTTTCCGCTGTTAATGAAATAGACCAAAATCACTACTGATGCCTTTAAATGAACTAAAAAAGCAAATGAGATCACAGTCAACAAGATTGATTATTTTCAAATAGTTATTTTATTAGTCTGTCACGGCTGCTGCAGGGTAGATGTCAGATGAGGTGATTAACAGCAACCTGGTGAAACAGCTTCTTCTTTTTTTTCTTTTCTTTTCCAAGCCAAAGACTCATCATAAGCTCCACGTTAGACATTCAAAATAAAGGGGGGGTAAGATTTTTCCTTTCAGAAAACACATGTACAGAAAGAGACCAGCAAAGAGACAGCAAGAGCTGATGGAGGGATAGCAGACTGTTCCTCTCCCTTTTTTTTTTTTTTTTTACTACAGCACTGTGTTTAAGTCCTCTTGGCCCGGGATGGAAAGTAATGAATACATTTACTTGTGTTTGTAATTGAGTAGTTTTTTTTTATGTGTATTTTTTACTTTGAGTAGTTTTCAGAATCAGTCATTCTTCCCCCTAAATATTCAGAATATTTAGGGGAAGGGCAGTACTTTGCTACATTTTATATAGCATCTGTAACTGAGTTAAAATAAACAGGCAGAATAGAAAGTCCAAGCTTTTCATCAACTATGTGAAGCCGGCCAGATGATTGGCTAATGCGTACCACATGACAGTCAGGAGCACGCAGTGAGAGTAAAGATTCCACATTTTTACCCAAAATTACTGCTACTAGTGGTCTTCATTAATTAAACAACCTGGTGGGAGATTCATATTTTATTGTTGCATTGCACGAGGGAAATATCATATTTTATTTTTCAAACCACCCCCAACCCCTCAAATAGAAAAGTACTCGGTATTTAAATTACATTTTAACCAATTTCTTTTTTTTTTGTGGTCATTTCTTTCGACCTGAGTAAAATGTATTTTATTTGAGTACAATATTCTTGTACTCTTCCACCCCTGCCTCTGGGAAGACTACAATATTGAGAAGCCGATAGATGAAGTAAGGAATCCTGTCTTTTAAAGAGAAGGGGGCATACCTATCTTATCTCACACATGGAGAGCATCTCTGGGGCGTGTTCTCAATCTTCTCATAGCACATTGAGCACTGATGTGTGTGTTTGAGCCAGAGAAAGAGGCCGTCCAGCAGAGTAAATAGCACTCAACTGAAAATTGCCTCCAGCACTGTGGGGGAAATGTTGAGGGTCTTTTCTCATTCACTCACGTCTGCTTTGAAGGAGCTTTTTTGCTACCGATGCACACAAACACACACACACACACACACACACACACACACAGTCTAATATTTGGGTAGGAAAACTAAAGTCAATTTGATGTACCTTCTGATTCACTTTTAGGGATAGATTCAAGTTGCTGTAAAAGCACTTCACCTGTTTTGTCCAGAGTTAAATCTCAATTTTACTCAACCTCAAGAAATGAAGCTTCTTTTCTGAGGAGACACATTTAATTTGAGTTTTAAAAAATATATATATTTAAAAACTGCCACAAATATAGAAAAACAAGCTGAACACTTGGGGGATCACTTGTGACTCCATCAGTGTTGCCTTCCAGCTGGTTAAAAAGTCAAACAGACTCCTGCTGAATATGCAAATCCAAATGACAGATTATTATCAGCCTTTCTGTTTTACTTTAAAAAAAAGAAAACATAAAGACTGTCACTCACACACCTTCACTGTTGCCCAGTGAAACTCAAATTTAATTTCAAAGTAGATAGTACAGTGCCATCTTCTGGTGTACACTTTTTACTACCAAACACTGATTTTAAAACCGTTAAGTTGCATATTCTCTGCATCATTGAACAAAGCCAAAAATATGGGGATGTGTGTCAAATTAGTATTTTAATGTTTTGGATCATACCCTAATTTGTATTAAATAGTATATATCAATAATATCCATTCATAATTGTTTTAAATAATTGGATAATAGTTACCGTTTCATATTCCAACTTGTAAAAACTAACTAATCATACTCAGCAGACTTCTCCTTGATGGTTCTGGTTTCTCAGGAAGTAAAGTGGGGGTGGGGTCAGAGGGGGGTGTCCCACACCATATGAATACACTGCTCCCTTTACTGCAAACCAAATAAACCCACCCCTCCTTTCTTGCAATGTGCCCAAAAATGGGGTTAAGTAAGTGGACTTTATGGAATAAAAGCACAACGCAACTTATCCACAATTACCTTTATTGATTCAAATTGTTTAAAGGGTTTGACATACAGCATCAGAGGGGGACAGTTGACAATCTTTTGCTCACTTTTGCCAAACAAATTAGGGATTCTTCCTTTGGATGGCAACAGGTTTAATATTCAAACACTTTCTTTGTCTGACAGCCTATTTGCTTACTTATACATTGGATATGAGGCAAGAGCAATAGGACGTGCATAATATGAACGGTGGGCATGTTTTTCAATCGATGAAACTTAAGTCGGGCAGAAAAACGAAGTTCCCCTTATGACCTACTTTATCTACGTCTATTAGACAGGTCTGTATTAATGCTGTTGAGGAGGTTAATTGTACACATATTAAATCACTCCTTTCCTAAATAAAAACAGTGAAAAGACAAATGGTTCTTGTATTTATTAAAATAGGCTGGTACAGTACTATCCTTGCAGAAATAAATTGCACCACAGCACTGTTTCGGGGCAGCGTCATGTTTTGTGACTGCAATGCCTTCATTGAGGCGATGGGCGTTTCTGGACACAGATGGCGCTGTTGAGCATGTATTTTGTTTCAGTCCCGTTTCCCTCCATGGTTTCTCCTCTCTCCGACTAACTTAGCGTTTGGCTCAGTTCATTATACAGTCCTATATTCTCCCTCCATTAGGGCATCTCTGCCTTTGGACTGAAGATCCCAGCAAAACCCCAGAGAGAAAAGTTTCACTTTCATAGGGAAAGATGGACATGACAAAGAGGATCCACTTGGAGCTAAGAAACAGGTCACCGTCTGATGTGAGTCGTGCTTTTTTTAAAAACCAACCCTTAGTTTTCTTGCTAGCCTTGCTAGCCAGCTTGCTACTTTTTTTTTGCTTTGCGAGTGACCTGTGTGGCTAGCGTAATGGTGACCACATGGGCTTTAGATTGTGTTTCTCCTTTTATTATAGGGTTGTTTAAACACTCGCACAACACGCTACATCTTTTACACGGTGCTGGATGGGGCGTATAGTGGGCAACGAGACGAGAAAAGCTATATTCAATCGTTACTTTGAAACGGCGATTCCTCAAGCTTGCTGGGCATTATTGCAGAGCTTTAAGGTTGTTTCGCAGCCTCCTCGGTCAGTGGTGCACATACGATCCAGCTCGACTTCACCTTTTGTAGCACCATTAGTAAACTTCTTTTCTACGCTGAGGAGAGAAATGTGCTTCCTGCGCCGCGTTTGGCATTCACAGAGATATATTTAATACAGACCTCTCGGAAGCCATGTTTGCTGCTAGCATAACTGCTAAAAAAAAAAAAAAAAAAAAAAAGGGGGAGCGCTTTTTTTGTATTATAAATGCTGTTAAAACCACCGAAATGTGTTCGCTTAACACGACAGTAGTCCGCATGTAAACAGGCAAGCCGCCGATCACGAGTTATATCTTGAAATTTCCGTGGAGCACTTTCATATCAAATGGACAGAAATCAGCAGCGACAACAAAAAAAAAAAAAACACACAAGTCAGTTGATTCACGAGTCATCCAAACCCTGTGACATATATATATATATTACTCTTTCTACTAGAATAAACAAACTATCCCCGCAGGCGCAATTTCTTTAGAGGCTGTTGTTATCCGTGAGTTTTAAAGGGGGGTGTGCAGCACTTAATTCCCTAAAATAACCAGCACACACACACACACACTCAGTACATCAGCTACATAACCCCCAAGTTTCGTAGCATTGACTCAATATACACATGCATACTTATTAATTTAAATGAAGCCTGGTTATTCAAATGTGTCTGAAACACAATCACTCAAGACACCTAACTTAGTGTTTTTGTTCCCGCCATATTACCCTCTTCGCTACAATGTATCCAAAAAAAAAAAAAGGTGACAAAAAAATGTATCCAAATGTTACCAATCAACAATTCCTGTCGATTAAAAAAAAACATTTTAGAGGCTGAAGTTGACGTTTAAACCTTACAAAAAAAAAAGATTAGTCGGCCAGTGGCTTTTCGTGTAAAGAGCCAGGCTGCTTGAATGACACGAGAGATCCGGTGCACCGCGCCTGATGCGTGGGCTGCCCCCCCAAAGAAAATACTCGACGGTCGGCGTTTTCCCCAAATCGACCCATGCACGACAAAACTAAACTTAATTCAAACAAAAAACAACCTAAGCAATGTGTAATCAACGCTAATTACTGTTTCTATTCAGTACTTATGCCGTGTAACTGTTCAGAGAACTGCATACTGTATCTCAGGAATCGCCATGTTGTCATTCTGTCGTCTTTGAAGCTCTGGGAGAAAGGAACTGTCTCCATCTTTGTTTTTTTGGTTTTGTTTTTTTTTTACTAAATTTCCGTTCTCTACATTATTTCCTTCGCCACTTCGACCTTAAAAAGAAAAAAAGACGCGCTACTGTGTAACAAAAGTGCCATTATCGGTTAGAGTACTCCACCTCCTCATTTGATAGTCGGTTTAACGAAAGAAGAAAAGCTGTTCTAGGGGTGTATTCTCAATCCTTTCCGCTGCTGTTGAGTTGGTTAATGGCGGGCAGACAGCTGCTCCTCTGCTGCACGGCACCGTTTAAAAGGGGCAATGGCTAGCCTGTAGCAACCTAGCTCACAAAAATCATTGCATTTGTCATTAGTGACTGCATCAGCAGGCCATGGGAAGCTACTGCCTTTACTCTTTCCTCGTACAAAAGAAATCAATTCATGAACTGTCGTGTCCGGAGAAAATCAAGCACATAATCACTTTTTAAGTTTTTTTTTTTTTTTTTTGGACAAGGACACACAGAAGCCTGGGATCGGTGTTTTTACCAGAGAAATCATCAGTCTTTGACGTTTTAAAAACAACTTCTTTTTTTTTTTGTAAGGTTTGTGTCTCAATACTGAATTGCGCAACCAGTGTAAAGCTTTAACTGAGTCAAAGTAACTCCGCCTTCCAAGATTTGTTTTTCCCTAGTATTTCACGTGAAAATAACCTTGTACAACATGTTGGTTGTCTTGACAGAAAGTTTAAGGTGTGTGCTGCTAAACATCACACATTAGGGTTGTGTTGTTCGCAGCTTGTTTCTGTAGGGGTTTCTTAACAAACAAATAAACAATAACACTTGTTTTACTGGAAGAAGTTGGAACAAATGCCCCATTATTATAAAATAGAATTGCTGTTGTAATCATTTTTTGTCAGTATCATTTCATTATTAAAAAAACTATGATTTATTTCAATGTTTTTTTCTAAGACATTTGCTGTGCATACAATACACCTAAAGAAAAGAAAAACTATTGATGCAATTTATAATAAATAAATAACTTAGAATTTGAAAATATCAAGAAAATCAGTTTAAAAGGTAAAAGTGTGTGTAGTTGTTATGTTAACATGCAAGTAAGTAAGAGGAGTTTTTTTTTTTATCTGTACAGAGATGAAGACATGCGTAATAGATTTTCTGATATGTTTTTCTCTATTCCAGGTACGAGAACTTGTCCTTGACAACTGTCGATCACATGAAGGAAAAGTTGAAGGCCTCACAGCTGAGTTTGTCAACCTGGAGTTCCTCAGTTTGATAAATGTTGGCTTAATCTCAGTCTCCAATCTCCCTAAACTAGGAAAACTCAAAAAGGTAAATATAATATACATAACTATATTTAATATATAGTTATGTTTTCACCTCCCTACCTCAGGTGCCAAATGGAGGAATAATAAAGTTCTATTTTCCTCTCTTTTTCAGCTTGAGTTGAGTGACAACAGAATCAGTGGCGGTCTTGATGTTTTAGCAGAGAAACTACCCAACCTCACACATCTAAACCTGAGTGGCAACAAATTGAAAGACATCAGCACATTGGAACCATTGGTATGTATCATTCTATTTGTAAGATGATTTTAAAAGAAGAAAAAAAAACTTATCCCACATCATTTTACATGCTTAACTTTAGATATGTGCAGACTTTGGGCTTTTTGTAGTCTCCTCTCATGTTGACACACATTTGTTATTCACACAAAATCAGGGTAAAACAGGCACTCCAAGCATGACAACCGTAAAAATGAGGAAGGATATACTTGAAAAGGTCTTTACTATAATGTCTAAATCAATTAAAAAGGCAACAGCTTTTGCACATAGACGTCTTGATCAGAACTGACGCACACACATTTCTGGTGTGAAGGACAGATGTTTGACCACACCCCAATGTTTGTTTGTCAGCACTGATGAAGACCTGTATGGTCAGAAAAAAAATCATAGAGTATCCAAATGAAACCAGAGATATTAAAGGTAAACATACCTAAGAAAAAATGTATATCCACTGTTATTTGTTGTTTACATTACATATCAACCAAGCTTTTTAGCCTTATACTGTACACACATCAGCATTAAGTACACTTCACTTAGAGTAAGACAGGACAAGCAGCAGTTTGTCATCGCAGTAATTGACTGTTTTTGATCCACAGCAAAAGCTGGTTACCCTGAAGAGTTTGGACCTGTTCAACTGTGAAGTGACAAACCTGAACGACTACAGAGAAAGTGTGTTCAAGCTGCTGCCCCAGCTCACCTACCTGGATGGATATGACATCGAGGACAGGGAAGCCTCAGACTCTGACGGAGAGGTCGACGGAGACGGCGTAGATGACGATGACGATGAAGGTAAGAAGTTCTGGTGGTTGTATAAAATAACATATACTGCTACATAGTATGAGAATGTGGTCGTTTTTTAAGGCAACATAGTTTAATTTATTCAGTTGGACCAACAGCTATACTCTGCCTGACTAATTGTGGCTTTTGTTTTCTCAGAGGGAGAAGAGGAGGAAGACGAGGATGGTGAGGAGGAGGACTTTGATGAAGAGGAGGATGAGGAAGATGAAGAGGAGGTAGAAGGAGAAGAGGATGATGATGAAGTCAGCGGAGAAGATGAGGTAACCCAAGAGAAAAAAAAACATGTTGCCACTGACTTTTTTTTTTCCTGCTAAAGGAATCCAGGCAATTTTTACATTTGATTTTAATATCCTGTTAACTTATGTTACTCAAGGAGGAAGATTTCACTCAGGATGGGGAAGTGGATGATGAAGATGATGATGAGGATGAAGAGGATGACGGTAAGAGTTTTTTTGTTTTGTTTTGTTTTTTACACATCCCTTCATTTGATTGGTGAGCGCAAACAAAGGGCACACAATTAACTTACCGGTACCCCATCACAACAAACTCAAACAATATTACAACCACAAAAGCCCTCCACCGCCAGGTTCATGTTTTCTATGTTCTAAATAGGTGGGGCTTTGGCTATGCTGTCTTATGCTCTAAGAGGATGAAGTGCTCAGAAATATCAGATTTAAAAAAATGTTCGACAGATGTACTTCATTATTCAAAACTTTTGAATCGCATATTTTTCTAGAAAGGACATGATTACACGTATTACTTATTAACTCAAAAATCTATTGAATTCCAGATGTAAAAAGGTATGTGATTCATATCTCTGTGTTCTCTTAGCTGTTAAAAATGAAAAGCACAGTACAAACTGTGTTGCTGTTCATGCACATGGAGTTTTAAAGTGCGGAGAAAGTTCAACAGGCTATTGTAATTAAACTGCAGTCGCTGTGTTATTTGGAGGACAGGATGGCGTAGCAGGAACAGTCCTTTTAGATTTTACATTTTATTTGTACAAAATGAGAAGATTTGACTAAGATGAGTCTGGACTAGGGCTGCACAATAAATAGCAATGTCATCATTATTGCAATATGAGCATTGCTAAATTCTGAATTTATCCAACTGAATATGAACATTTGATGGAAACAAGCTGTCATTGGTCTTTGGCATGTGTATATTTCTGTTTTGGAAGGAGGCCTGGGTATAATGACAATGCTTCCACACTGCTGTAATGCAGCCAGTCGAAGCTCAAGCTAGCTATGCGCTACCCTCAAATTATTTGGATCCAATCCAGTGGTAAAAAAATGTATCCTTTTTTTTTTTTTTTTTAAATGTATTGTGGTTCAGGAGAGAATTATGGTAACACAAGTATTGTGTAAAGCACGGAAGAAGAGCAGATAGAAATTGAAACTGTGAGTTAAAGATGAAATGCACTGTGGCGCTTGTAGCCTAGTGGTTAGTGTGCACGCCTATAGAGGCAATAGTCCACCAAGTGGGCGGCCCAGGTTCAAGTCCAACCTGTGGCTCCTTTCCTGCATGTTGTTCCCCACTCTCTCTCTCCCTGATGACTGGCTTTATCAACTGTCCTATCTTTGAATAAAAATGTAAAAAGCCCCAAAAATACACCTTAAAAAAGCTATTTAAAAAAAAAAAAAAAGATAATGTGCACTTTGTAATATTTATCGCATTTCATATTGTTGTTGCAATATTGTTGTTAAATATCAAAATATATTACCAGAGACAATATGACACCTTCTAAAAAGTTTACAGGGTTTTATCAAGTGCGTGCCCTTCATATCTGCCATTACAGAACATTCATTCAATAGCTACACAAAGACATTACACTAACCAGAAAATGATGTAGGACTGTTAATCATAAGATCAAAAAGAAAGTGTAAAGCGTGTGAATGTAGAGCATCCTAGCAGGGAAAGACAACTTGAATCCTTAAAACTTAAGATGATACAGATTCATATCTGACACTGTTTATTTGCAGCTCCTAACCGTGTAACATTATAACATGAAGCATGAAACATGATAGTGACCATTCTTAACCACTGTGCACACGTCCGAGGATCACACCAGAGAATGTGTTGGATAATGCTGAAATATTCAAGTTGGTAAGAACAGGCGTTCCCCAACTTTTCAGCTTACAACCCCTAAAACGAGGATGTCAGATACTTAGGACCCCCACGGTCTCTGGAGGTGGTTAAGTCATATAGCATAGCGCGCAAGCCCTTACTGCCCATAAGAAAGGCTTGAAACAGAAAAAAGGTAGTTCCCATGTGTAGACTTTAGCACTAGAGATATTCGATATTGATCAATATGCTTCGATATCGATTTAATAGATAGATTTAATCGCATAGATGACTGAAATACTCCCGATAACTAATTACAGTATTTTCTGATATTTGTTAAATAATAATGTGTGCATTATTTATATTAGTTTAGAACAAACTGACTTAAAAAATGTATTTTATTGTTACATTATTCCTTAATAAACAAAGAATAAAACATTAAAGTACAGTATGCAGAAGCACGGCGGCACCCACAGTGCCCCCACTGGAGTGAAGCGTCATTCAACCGAAGTAATCCATGTCAGGATTTCACTGAATCGATATTGAATTGGGAAAATCCATATTCATAACCAGCCATATTTAGTTTTATCTAGTTTGTCGGTCGTGGCTCCCCTGATTCCAAATGACATAGATTTCCTCTTTGTCCCCAGAAGCAGAAGCTGGCAAAGGCGAGAAGAGAAAGCGAGACCCAGAGGACGAGGATGATGACGATGATGATGACGACGACGATTAAGAGCAAAACTGAAAACGAGAGCCTACAGAGTTACCCTTCCTCCCCAAACGTCCGCCCTCCTACAACCTCGCACCGCTTTTGTAATCCAAGTCTACCCCCCCTCCCCCTCCTCCTACCCAGCTCTAAGCTCTTCTTATGGGGCAAGACTGTACCGGATGGGTGGGCCAAGTGGAGCTGCCCCTCCCCTCCCTTCTTTTTTTCTCCCCCCCTTCCCAATGGAACTGAGAGCCACCAACACCCTCCACCTCACTCACCCCACGGCCCCCCGAGGTTCTCAGGCAGCCCAGCACTCAGCATTCCACAATTTCACTGTCAATCCCTCTTTATGTATTCCCGTGTGAGGACTTTGGGACTGGTATCTAGTTTTGGGTCTGTGCTTTTAATATTTTGTTTGATGAATTATTTTTTGTTTGTTGGGTTTATTCTTTCTCTTTTTTTTGTCTTTTTTTTTTTTTTTTCTGTTTCTTATTTTTTTCCCAATAAAATTACTGCTATAGCAGCTGTGCAACCAGCGAGCCATTATTTTTAGTGTGGCTGCCTGTTGCACAAATCAAGGTTGTAGCTACATTTTTACTTTCTGTATGACAAAAAAAACAACTTTGTAAATAAAATGTTAACATTTTGTGCTTTTTCTCTCGTCCTCCCTTGCATCTCTGGTGTCAGCAAATTAACTTAAAGGGATGAAACAATGATCATGTGGTTTTTCTCATCCACGCCTGCTGTTAGGCTCTCATTCTCTGTGCACTGACGCTACATTGAGCCGTCCACAGAAAAGGTTTTGTATAATCTTAGAAGATCGGGTTTAGACAGAAGTCTATCTTGATACTCGTGTAACTTGCAGACATGATACTTTGAGTTTGTAAGAGTATTTTTCAGGAGTAATACAGGCTGCTGCTTTCAGGAGTAATGCAGGCTGCTGCTTCAAAAACTGTTTTTCATCTTTCAAACACAAACATGAGAGATATGTCTAACGAAAAATGTTGTCTGTCCACAATGCTGGAGACTTAAAGATGCCAAAAAATCAACAGTTAAAGGAGGTTGACAGGACCTGCGAGCAGAAAGGGCTGTTTTTTAGGAAAAACAATAACTGTTAAACTATAAATGTGTCCATGCAACTGACTTGGAGTTATTGTTTTATGTAGTAAAATAGTCTGCTCTATTTGAGGACAAGTCAAATGGATAAACCAGAAAAGTATTATTGTATGTGATTTCTTTTATATATATGTACAAATAAGAATACTAAAGGAAACAGGATCAAATCAACAATTCAGAGACATCACAATAAATGAGAGCATTTTGAACATATAAACCGAGAAACAACCTTTAAATGAAATGGTTTATTTTATTCAGACAGCGTATGCTACAGTCGACTCTGCAGCTACATTATTGCTCCAGTATAATATTAGAGGGACTTTGAGAGTGTACATGGCTTGTTGAGAAGCGTTTTGTTCTGGGGTCTTCTTGTTGGCTACTTCCATAACAGAACAACAAAATCATGTCATCTATAACATAAGGTGCAGCAGAAAAAAAAAGAACCATTTGATCCCCCTGTTAAGTACTATAAATTGATAAAGAATTTAAAGCTTAATAAGAAAACAACCCTCCTTTCCCTTGACACTGTGTAGGCCCATTGTTAAAAGTTCATGAAGTGCATATAATTAATATATTTTCTAATATAAGTAAACGTCTGATTGACAGCATAGTAAACCACAAAAAACTGGAGGGTTTCTCTGTATTTGTTGATCTTGCTGGTAGTGAATTCATTCCTTTGATGTTTTAATGTCATAACGTAGCTTTAAAGTAGTGAAATACAAATATTGAATCAAATGTTCATCCAACCACTTGCCTGGGTTCTATAGCTTCAATACTACATTTCTGAAATCACAAAGAAGATGCTGCAGAGGGCATTACATTCAGATATTTGCTCCATTGCAATAGTAAAAGTTTAATATATTGTGCCTTACATTTCCTTATTGGAACCAAGACATGAGAAGTCGAGGCTGAGAAGACCTCATAATTAAACCAATCTTAAAGTAGCACTATAAAACATTTTCCAGAAAAAAAAAACACCTTTTTTCCTTATAATAATAAATTGAAAAGTAAATAAATAATAATAAAGTAAAGTGGAAAGGTTTTGTAGCCTGGATGGCAATGTAAGTTCTTTGTTTTCAATATGAAAGTCAAATCGCAGCATTGGAAGCTGCTAATAAGCTAGCTAATTTGGAGATATTTTGACAGTCTTTTCCTTCCACATGTTACCCAGAAAGAAACACAACTTGAAAAGAGAGAAACAAAACAGACACCAATTTTCTCTCCAGTTGCTCGAGCTAACAGGAGTTTGCTAGCAATGCTAACAAGGACTCTTTTACTTTGATGTTGAGTAATCACGGGCAGCCTAAAGCTAACACTAGCCGTTTGTTTATCTAAGAGGTTGTGTTGCTATCTGTGTTTTGATTTTAGCCTCTATTAGGTTAGTATTGTTTTAGCTCAATGGATCTGTTCAACTTTATTTTGCAGTTGTTTTGGTCAACTAAAATCCTAAAAAGTAATGAATTTCTTTTCCAATAAGCTAGAGGTATGCTAACTTGTACTGGATGCATAATACAACCTGTTTTCATTTGCCTTTTCAGGCTGACTCTTTAGACTAAGAAAATGTACGAAAGAAATGTGATGGGAACGTATGAATTTGAATCAAATCCTATATTAAAAGGGAATGATTGAACTCTGAGTGGGAAAGGATGTTTAATGGGAGTAAAATCTTTGTAACCTTAAAATTTTGTGAAGTAAACAAACAGCCAAACAAGCCCCCCTGAGCTCGTCCATTGAACAATGCTTAAACTGTAGTTCAATGTGGGACTGTGTTGAGACGTATCCACCAACAGAACTGCTAGTTGGAGTTAACATGAGCAGAGCGCAGCTGGCCCTTGACAAAAGTCCACCAGAGATGAAGCTGTGCTAGAACTGTCCTGCCAAAGGTCAAAGGTTCATAGCTGTACAAAGGCCAGAGTGTCTGTATGTGTGTGGGTTAGTGTGGCAGTTTCCATTTGTGACATCATTTAAAGGTGGACGTGAAATGTAAACAAAATCTAGAATATCATTGTGCTGCTTGTGCCTCTGACTACATGAGAACAGGCATGCATGCTGATTTGAACGGTTTCTGGCTGATAATAGAATCAAAAGCTATATGTTTGTTTTGCCTTAATATCTGCAAGCAGTCATGGGACATCTGTGCATATTTACATGTCAATCTTGTAATAGATCATCTCAAAATGGGGATTCAGGCCAAAGAAATTTGTGTCTTTTAGTTTGTGAAAGAAATGAAACGTGTAATACTAATCCAATAGTGGAAGCAACAAATGAAGAAATTAGTCTGACTGAATCGCAGTCAAAAATATGAACACCATCCTGAAGTTTCCTGAGGAAAAACACATTTATATTGGCAAATTATAACCAACTATTCAGTGTTATTTGAGTACAATATACAGTTATTTAAGTCTTTTTGGTTGCAATAACAGATCACAGCCACTAAAAATGTCAATGATTTCCCTGTGAAGTCAAATGTTCTCATTCAGGATTGATGATCTCAAAACCCCAATCTCACATAGAAAGTTTCTTTCAAATCTGAAACATCACACAACAAATCTCTGTCCATCTTGTCAAAAACACAAAACAGATATCCTCTTCTCTGTGCTTGGATCTCTCCGCCTGGTTGGCTTCAAAAAATCCTTTTCAGTCCTGACCTCGGAAATGGCAGTTGACAAAAACAACCTCTTCTTTAAGGGTTTAATTGATTTAGAAAAAATCATCTGCTCGTAAACACGGTTTAAAAACTACACATCAGGTGAGAAAGACACCTTGATTTGCTATCATGAATTCACTGTGGAGCTATGGGAATACTAAGGAACGATTAAACAGTTGTAGTTCATGCTTGGGAATATACATTTGTTACAAAAATCGAGTTCGTTTTTGTATATTCCCATGAGTTGAGTAATTTTAGTATTTTTTCACAACAGCAGAGATAGGCTACTATGAAACGAAGCTACCGTGGTATAAAATCTTAAACTGTAGCAAGTTTGTATCATCTTGTCATATTACCACAGCCTACCTGTTATTGCTAGCCCAAGCTATTACTTAAACATGGTGTTAACATCTGACATCTAATACAAAATGAGATAATCTTAGTTTAACACAAAAACAGAAACTCATGTGTTATGTTTCAGATTTTTACAGAAAGTCATCTTCAGGGAAACACATTCAGAACTGAAAGCTAGCGTAATGCAAGCTAACCCACTAAGCAGGACTCTACAATGGCTTTAAGTTGTTTCTTCACAGTGACTCGTTATGGGAAAAAGCAATATTATTGTTCTTTTTTCAAAATTACAATCTCAAATGATTAAAGTGTATTTTCTTTGATGTATTGTAAAATAAATAAAAAAATATAATCAAAATGTGCTATATTGCATTGGTGACAGAATGCACAGTAATATAGCTGCTGTAAAGCAAAGTGACTTTTCCCCAATATTCCAGTCATTCACTAACAATAAAAGCAAAACCACAGCTCAAAGTACATACACAACAGGGAATCATATTTTTCATTCATTTAAAATTGCTTTCATTCAATCACGTACACATTAAAACACTGCAGCCACGGTCTTCGCTTACAGTAGTTTAAATATTGTGGGGGAGGAAAAAATAAAATTAAGCATCATCATACAATCTCACAGAATGTCTGTCTGCCCTGCAAAAACTCTCAAACAACATTCAGACAGTCACAGCATCCAGTGAGGACACACACTGCAAACATCTTTACCTCTTAGCAAGAAAGAGAATAGAAAAAGCTCAAAATTACAATAAAACTTGCATAGCTGTGAAGCATAAAAAAAGAAACTGAGTAAATAAGGTCAACAGGTGCAAAGTTTGAAAACAAGAGTCAGTGTGTGAGTGTATGTACATTTATAAAGAAAATGTGCATCTTGTGGACAGAACGACAGATTGAAAAAAAAAAACAGAGAGTCGGGGTTAAGACATCCCCTGTGCAATGAGTATTTGGGGCTTATTAGAGGATAAGTGAGTCAGGACCCTAAGAGGTGAGTGGTGATTTGAAGTAGGGTTTCTTTTTTTCTCTCTCTCTTTTTTTTTTTTTTTACAGTAATAGGTGTTTTCCATGTTGTGATGCCGGTGAATCAGCAGGTCATGGTAAGTCTGTAAGTGAGCTCTGAGATTGAGAGTTTTTGATGTTCTTAATCTCAAGCTCCAGCTGTTTGACGCGCACGTCCCTCTGGTTTAAGAGCTCCCGCAACCGCCTGATTTCCTCCTGCTGCTTGTGGAACTTCAGACGCAGCTGTGGACAAAACACACACAATTTAAACATATTGGAATATACAGTATATCAAAAAGTATAAAATCTTGTTTTTCTCAACCCCCTTTCTTGTAGTCAAAAGTTTCCTCTATATGTCCAGATGACATAATCTAATTGATGGTCAGAATTAGTTATTACGTTACACACTTCAATATTTCAGAATGAAATCTGGGATTTCAGTTAGTTATTTGTTCTAATTTTAATGCTGTTCGATTAAAGTCATGACTCAATTTGAGTTTGGGTTACAAAAACTACAAATTGAATTCTTGTTAAAATAAGATTTACTTTATTAATCCCAGAGAGGAAAATGACATGTTGAACACACATAGGCCAAAATACACAGGATCCTATGGAAATGCACTAATTGGGGGATGACAGAGTGAGCAAGCTGCACAACGACGAGCCAAATTTCCAGACTGACTTGAACTGGCGACGATCAAGTTCCCCACCCAAGTCCCTACAGACTGAGCTACTGCCACCAAATGCTTCATAATGCGTCATTCATTCTATTGATACATTTTTCGGTTCGTGGTTAGACACGTGAAAACAGTATTATTTCAGTCTTAATTCATTACAAAACTAAATATCACTTTAAAGGTTTGTGCAAATGCTAACAGCTATTCGTCTTAGGAACAAAATCAGTGCAGATTACGGCAAGGTAAAAACAGCCTTCAGTACCTCATTCTCCGTCCTGGGTGGAGAGCAGAGAGCGAGGTCTTCTCCATTTCTGACGGGTGTCCGACTGGTGTCCTCCTCCGTTTGTCCTCCGTCTTCCTTGCCGTCTTTGTTTCCCAGTTGGTCCTGAATGTACGCAAGCTGTAACATGCCTGGTCTGCACTGAGACCTGCGAGAGTCCAGCGAGTTTCCTATCCCTTTGTTCATTTCTGGATACGACTCCGCCTCCTGACTTCCTGGCTTCAGAGACATCAGCACTGGGCCTAAAGGATGAAGGTTACAAGTTAAACTATGAAGAAACTGTAAAAAAAAAATGTAATTTGCTGTTGTAAATTCACTTTATTGCACAACTGGTAAATACTTAGATAACATAAATAAAATAATGCAGAAATAAAAGTCAGAAAAAGTGAAACTGATTTTTCATTTTCATTTAGGAAATGTGGGAAAGGGAGGGGGAGATGAAATTAACCAAATTGTTGCTGATCGGGAGTCAAACCAGAGACGAGTGCGATGAGGACTTAAGCATCTCTATACAAGGCGTCTGCTCTACTGTGCAAAACCAGCGCACTTCCCTCCATGTGTTTCTCTGATATATCATAGAGTGGATAGTGTAAAGGTGTAAATTCTGTTGTTCAAATGATTCCAAGGAAACTGAAAATTAAAACTCTTGCTTCACATGTGAAGACTTTTGCTCAATACTTAACTTATTAGTGGAAGACTTGAATGTAACACACATGAGTTTGTTTATGCCTTTGCTGGATCAATATCATCCAATTAAATTCTTAGCAACATTGTGATCCGGATCTCACAATTTTCAACCAGCCGTACTTATATCTGTGCCCTTTTAAGGTATATTTTAACTTTGATCATGTTTAGTTTGAAGCAGTTTATCACCTTCCTTTCACACGGAGCAATAATGGAAGACTTGTAAATCCCCCAGCAGCCCTCCAACATATATAAATGTCACACACATAACCACACACACACACACACTAACTCTGACCTTTATCAATGCCGCTGAGCCACTCCTCTGCAGTCAAAGCAGGCCTGTTACTAGCTGTCATTGGGTAGATGTCTTCTTGGTACGACTCCGACTGGAAACACGCACACAAACACACAAACACACAAACAAGCCACCATCAGTCAGACAGATCTATTCACAACATATACTTCGTTGTATTCCCTGGTGTCAATAGTACATGTGAGGCATCTCATTTGACTCTCACCCTGCGGGGTACAATCATGGAAAGTGGCTCAATTAAACTCTTGATTGTCACCAGTTTGTAGAACCTGAACACTTCACAGGAGCTCACGTCAAGACCTCTCTTTGGCATCACACCTGGAGGAAGACAAACACACACACAAGTCAGTTTTACTCTGGTACACACAAAACACTTGCTCTGCTGCATTACTCTGCTATACTATGTCTTTTAGCACCTTTTCATATATTTGGGCATGAGGGCGGTAAAGTGTTACTGTGTAATAAAAGTGCATTGACTGATGGAGATATAGTAACATTTCAAGAGACGACACTGAAACTGAGTCGGGTGTTCGGTAATTTCACGACGTGATACAAAAGAATACAATACTTTTCAATTCTTTTAAAAAGTGTTTTTTTATACACTTTAAAGACATTCAAATCTTGTATCAAACACAGATACAATTTGACGTTGCACTGCTGCTAATCCAGGTGAAGACTGCACAGGGCCACACCCACCCTGAAAACAGGTTCAGGAAGGTGTTCACTAAATATTTTACAGGCTCTTTAACTTTTAAACACCATCTGACTTCAAACAGATGAAGTGTTGAAATGTTGGCCTCAGGTGGGATTTGAACCCAGGCCGCCCAGGACTATAGCCTCTTTACATGGGGCACAGACCTTTACCACTCATCCACCAGCGCCCCGTCACAGGATATTTTAGCGTCACCTGTACCATACTTTTGCTCACACTGTGCAAAGCATAAACGGAATTATTTCAGAAAAAAACATGAAGTAACATTTTCTAATTTGACTCGAACATTTTATAAAGGTTGTACTTGCGAATACACTTGCCTTATAATGTTTTTATTAATTATGAAAATGTCTATCATAATTAAGCTATACATGCTAATCATTTGGTGTATATATATTCCTCTTGAAAACAGATCATAATCTAAACAAAACGTCCTCTTTAATAAAGGATTAAATTAATAAATAAGTGCATTTACATCTTAAAGAGTTTTTACATGTTTGAACCATCACACAGATTTATATTTTAGAGAATGTCTTTAAACCTACAATTGTGTACTCAGTTGTTGTTGTTTTTTTGCAGTATATGAAAGCTCCACATTCTTCCAGCTTCCTGAACGTGACACAGTATGGGGCTTGTATCTCAGATATATTTCTTTAGCTTGTCACAAGAGCTGCTGCTGATCAGTTCTGTAAGAAAATGAATCAGCGGTGTCTTGTTTCTAAACATGTTCCATTCACCTACGTCCATGTGTTGTAAAACATGGTCGCCTGGGTTAGTCTGCAAGATAGGTGTGCACGCTTTTTTGTCACTTAACATGATCCACTACTTGGCTTTTATCAGCTGGTTTTGCTATTCAAATATAGCAGGCTTATTTGCACAGCAGCTTTGCTTACAGGTGCAGGAGAGTCAGAGCAGCCTGAAGGGCAGGAAGAGCCTCGAAACAGTGAACAACAACCACGTTTTACACACATTCAAGAAAGGAAATATGCATAGAGAAACATACTGGGGTTTGAAATAGTCAAAAAACATATAGTATAAGTGTGTGTTTCTTACCAAGTCCTTTCTGAGGTAGGTTGGAGCGGTATTCTGTCAGGAACTGGATATATGGTTTTTCGGAGCTGATCTCATAGTACCTTATATTTCCATCCCCCTAACAGAGACACAAGGGAAGTCTTAGTGACGTCAGTAAATGGTGTTTTGTGCATGAATACAGGGACACTTCGTGGTTACTTTGACAGTACCTTCCCAGCGATGTAGAGCATGTGTGTGTCAGGGTCGTAGAAAGGAAAAAGGACTCCTGACGAACCATCCAGGTTCTCTTGTAACAAAGGCACAGATAGATCGTCCTGCAAACACACACACAAATTAAAAACAACAAAAAAAAACACACACACACCCCACAAAATCCCTCATATCAAAACACTCAAGTCATTTAAATCCACTGCTGTATGAGAAGCACTCTACAGCGCTGAATTAAAAAACATTGAGTGCTCAATCCCTAAGCTGTGCGCCAGCTGTAATCTCCCACGCACGATACACGCTCTCACGAATCAAAAACACATCAGCTTGCCGTTACTACTGACTGGAGATGTGTGACTGATTCAAGGATTCATGTGACAATAACATAATCAAGAAGGAAACACATCTAGCTGTGCTTAAAAACACAGGCGCAACAAGATCTGACAGTAACAGCTGGTTTAACCTCTTCTCCTAACTGTCCACTAGATGGCAGCGTTTAGGATTTCCTGCTCCTAGAGAGTAGAGTGAACACCTTTGAGTTCGGACAGAAGAAATACAACAAGCAGTATAAATACATACTTTTAGCTGCATAATGTGACTTTATGTTGTCAGACTTTTTTTTTTTTGCATTTTCTTTAAATGCTGCTTTTGACAGCAAGCTGGTTGCAGCAGATTTTTGACTATTAATGAGTCTGATTCAACTCGATGTATCTTCCTGTGAAGAAAAATGTTCTCTCTTATTTCCAAGTGCTTACTCATGGTGGATTAATGTTTGGACTCTCTATATAATATAACAAATGGTGATGTCTAGTGCTGCTTGTTATGTTTTGTGTCATGATGTGATAACTTTTGTTGTGATTTGACAATGTATAAATACAAGTTAAAAATGCTTGATTGATTGACATCCAGTCCATGTATTTTTACAGAATACATTTTTTTCCTTGACTTATAAAAAGTATGGGTGTATGATATAGTCATCAATTCATAGGACTGGTTCACATGACAGAATTTCCACATGTAGACACCTGCTCCAGCACCATTCACTGAATACAACCATGACATTTGAATCAAAGCTGGTGGTAATGGTACCTTTGAGCAGAGATATTTTTGATACCAACAATGACTCTGCTGCTGCGCTCACCTGATCCCACAGAGAGATCTGTCGATGATTCCAGCGTGACGTGCCTGTAGTGAGCAGCATCTTCAGGTTCCCCAGCATCAACACCTTGCTGGCTTTGTGCGTTTTACAGTTGCCTTCCTGCAAAAAAAAAAAAAAACACAAAAAACAACACACATCACAAACCAAGCAGTATGCATGTTCAATATTTAACATGAAAAGAGTCAGGCTTAAAGAATATATGGATGGATTTTTTTCACAATAAGAGCTGGATTCTACAAAAGGTTCCTGCTTATTTGTCAGGAAAGTGTAGTGAGCGCAGACTAATGTAAAGGGCGTTGACCCTAGAGGTCGGGAGAGTTATGCTCCGAACCTGCAGAGGACAGAGGTGTCAGGTTTGGCTGTGAGGTGCTGAATGAGAGTCTGAGCTGGGAGGGGAACTTATGCAATGTTGGCTGAGATCTTATTTTATACTTTAACTGAGGCTTCAGGCTGTTTTCTTTTGACGCTCTATTGATTTTCACCGTAGAACTCCATTGTCCAATCTAGTTTGGAGTTTACTGTTAATTTTAAAAAAGATCACTGTAGAGAGGAACTTGTGGAGTCAATACAGATATTCTACTGATTATTAAAGAGATTCCTATAAACAAAGGTTCAGCTACATAACACTTGTGCTACTAATGAAATAAACTAACTCTATCTCTTTTTTTGTTGTTTAATTAGTCATTACTTAATATTTAAAAAAAAGCCTTGATAGATTTGGGGTTTTATTAAATATTACATAATGTGAGATCAACAAAGAATTCTTTTTTCAGGTGAATTCTCTAAAAAAAGAAAACTTAACACAAGGTGACCAAACCCCCGCACTACTCAAAGCCTTACCTGCAGAAGGTTTCCTGAACGCAGCTCTATGAGTCGGACCTTCCGGTCCTTGCAGGTGGTGGCTAACAGGCAGCCGTCTGTGCTGAAAGACATGGAGAGGATGACGTCTGGGTGAAGGCTGATTGTCCGCACTGGGTTCTTAATCACCTGCTCCGGACAGTCCAGGTTCCAGATCATCAGCTGCAGGTGACAGGCACACAAAGAAATACGATTTAATTAAACAAACAGCTGAAATCACAGGTAGTATTAGTAACAACCTATTTACTTAATTCAAGTTTCAAATGATAACATACTATGTTTTTTTTAAAACTTCAAATAAATAGTTTTTTAATTTAAAATCACTAACAGTTTTTTATATGGAGAGTCCTATTAGTTAAACTTAAAAGGTGTCGAGTGTGGAAACAGTTTAAATGCTCTCAGACAATCCAAAAAACATTACATGTTTTTTCATTTAAAAATAACTGACAGTATATTTCACAGTAGGTCCTTAGTCCTCATGTGTTCTGAAGTTTGCTTTTTGTGTGTGGCTGTCCTGGGGTCAGTGTGCGTTTGTTTGTGTTACCTGGTAGTCGTAGGCTGTGCTGAGCAGGATGTTGTTAGCGGTCGGATGCCACTCGATGAGGCCCACCCTGCGACTGTGACCCTGAAGCTCCTTCCACGGTACTGTCAGGTTCTTCAGTACTCCATGAGGAGGGATCTCCCACACTTTCACCTGTGGACCCACACATGTACAGCTGTTAACTGTAATCAATTCTTTCTCTCGACTGTAACCTATTAATCAAAGTACTGTAGGCCTTATTAAGTATAAATGTATGCACATTTTTTTTTTTTAAAGCAAATTTAAATTTCTACTTCTTTGATTACCAGAGTGAAATGTTATTCTTTTGACTTCCTTTACAATAATGAAATATTTTTGCACACTAAAACCATGAAAAAGTTTGAATACAGTTGAATATAAAGCTACGCAATATGCTTGATATCAAGTCCTAAATCCTTGACTTTCAGGCACTAGTTTGGCTCAGTAGGAAGAGCTGGCGTCCCATTTACAGAGGTGGGAGTCCTCATCGCAAGTTCAATTCCAGGTCCTTTTAAGCGTGAACAATAACAAACTAATGATACTTTAAATAACCATAATGGTATAACCCTAACATGAGTCATTCTTGTGCAATGACTACATTGAGTTTTAATACATTAAGCCCGCCTTCTCGTTATAATTATATTCTTTTACTTAGGTTTCTCAAATACATGAACATGCAAGTTCAAAATAAAACTATAGACAAACATCTCTTATCTGTAATCTATTTAAATAAACAAAAAGAAGAAAACCATGAAAGTAAATTAACACAGCCGCAGGGCACACTTTGTACAACTATTCTTCAGGAGGTAAAACCTGTTGACTCTTCCTTTCGCTTTCTGTGTTCGGAGGTTTGTTCGGAGTCTTTCTGCCAGCTCAGAGCTGAAGAATGCGAGGAATGACTTCAAGCTCTTCTTCAAGGCTAAACGCAAAGGCTGTAAAATTATCTCCTTGCTGCTACATGCTCATATTCTACAGAGAAATGATAAGAAGTGAGTGAACCCGTTTCAGAAATGCAGTTAGTCAGAACAAACCGTGGTGTCCTCGGAGCACGAGGCGATGCAGTAGTCGTTGAAGGGATTCCATTTGATGTCCAACACGTTTCCTCTGTGGCCTGAAACTTTGGGGTGGTGAGGGTCCACCTTCCCTGTCTGATGCACAAAATGAAACTCAAATGAAGGACATAATAGATAAACTAAATAGGCAAAGTTTCTAGATATATTTATTTTCTGACATAGTGCCATCACTGGTTGCTAGATAAGCAGCTACAGCAGGTAAGTAAGCTAAGTTAGCTTAGCACTGGAAAATCTTGCTAATACTGTTGAAAACTGCAAACCTATACCCTCTAAGTTACAGGTATTATTATAATTTTTTTAGGCTGTGCAGAAACCAACAGGTGGAGAGCAGGCTGATTTTTGATAAAAAAAAAAACAAAAAAAAACACAATTCAAGAAAAGAGGGAGTGTAGTGAGTGATAACAAAGCCGTGAATCAGAGGCATTAAACACTGCATTCTCAGAGCGATAACAGGTACTTTATCGAACACAAATAAACACAAGCAAACCTCCACACAACCCTGCATGAAGGTGCAAGATTTAGTTTGAATGCAGCTGAAACCAAGCTTCAAGGACATTCCAGTTCATCGTGCCTTTATCTACACAGGACGTGTCAATCTGTTGAGATTAAGGAGACGTGACCGTGCTTGGATGCACTGAGAAACTCTTCCCATTAAACAGTTCAACCTGAAGGTGTATTCCCACTAAGTGTTCATGACACACGCTCTGGTATTCAATGATCCTTACACAAGGGAGAAGTCGCTGAAGATTTTCTGCCTCAACACGACTGCAATTATGCTTTTTGTGCGAACAGAACCTTCCTCATACTGACACACACGCCTGTGCAGGTGAGGTGATGTAACATTTACCTGTGCTGCAAGCAAACCTCAAGAAGAACATAGCACATATTGTTCCCGTATTTATGTCTATTAACTACTTTCTCCGCAGAACAATATAGCTTTATCTGTAAGCACACAAACAAGGATGAGATGTAAAAGAAACTACGAGAGGGTGGAAGTGCTGAAGTTTCACTTTTTTTGAGAAGTTCAAAGGAGGGGGAGAGAGGAGGGTTAAAGATGAGTTATGTCATTCCTTAGCTGGTATGCAATCCCTGCCCATGCCAGGCGGATGGCTATATTTCACTGAGACGTTTTATAAAGATGAGGGCAGATGGAGGAAGAGGGAAAAGAAGGAAGAGTTTGATGAACTGTCTTTGGCTGTAAATTTATCCCAGCACAGGAGAGAGGAGGTCTGACGGAGTTTATCTGAGAGGTGACTGTTTGTTACTGATTACACCAGTGGATGTGACAAAAGGCATAAATAGTGTCCAGAAGAGTGTTTGATTAATAATGTTTTAGATAAGGGGGGAGATAAAGGAGAATAATGAGGAGGGGAAAAAAAAAGACCACATGCAATGTTTAGGTTGTGGTGGATGAGCTGTTGGGGGGGATTCCAGCTATTCAGCGATGCTTTTGGCTCCACTGTTGCTGGCCAAATTATAATCTGAGAGGAGAGCTGTCTTTTTCCAGGTGTGCTATGAGTGCATGAGCAAAGAGAGAGAGAGAGAGAGAGAGAGAGAGAGAGAGAGAGAGGGAGGAACCATGACAGATACATTGACCAGGCAGCAGGAAGAACTGAGTCCAACATAGACAAAAAGATACTCAAAAAACTCTGAACATTGATTATAATTAGGGAGGGGGGGGGGGGGCTCTGCTTGAACTTATTACTTCTTCTGACTACAACTCTGGCGTATAAACAGCTCGTGACGTTTTTTTGAGAAAGTGCCCAGACACGAGAACTATTGAGGAGTACCTTCAGTTACATTTTTCTAGTTAATAGGAAGATTCCTAAAGAAACATGCAATCCTATCGCACGCTGAGTCAGTAGCTCTCAGTGTAAAGAAGAATGTTAATGAACTAAAAGCCCCATAAGTCATCTTGATTTGAGAAAAACCTCTCCTGCATTTGTTGCTAAATGTCTGAAGTGCAACTTATTTTGTGTTTTAGAAGAGAACCTTTAAGAAGGCATTTTATATTTGCACGTAAGACAGGACACCGTTGTGTTACAATGTACTTCATATCTACAAAGTAAACTTCTTTCCAGACAATTTTATTCACTACTGCACATTAAAGGATGAATGTGCGACATTTTACACGTGAATACAGCAGAAATCAAGTATACCCTCTGTAAATGTCTCTCTGAGTTATGACTGTCTACAAAAAGGGAGAAGCTCGAGTCTCGCCAGCTCTATTGTAGGAGGATTCAAAATAGCGGAGTTGTCTATTTTGAAGTAGAATTCATGGCACAGCTGGTATTTTGGAATGTGTTTTTTTTTTGTATAGGCATCTTTATAGCGTCTTTTTAGGTGTAGAATCAATTTGCCTGATTTATTTCAAATTAAAATCATCCACCATTAGGAAAAACACCAGACCCAATGAATATTGTGTCCCCTTGTTTAAAAGAAATTCAGATTATAATTCCAAACATATCTAATATCATTTTGAGCAAAGAAGTGCATGCATTACTCTTAAAAAAAACAACAACTTCAGCCGTTTGAAACCTGCCATTAAGGTGGAGGTTACTCACATGATGGATGGTCAGGACCACGAAAGATCCTCCCCCGGCACACTCAGTGATGACCGCCAGGAAACGAGGGTTGACAGTACAGAAGTTGTTGTCCTGGACACTGCGTGTGATTGGCACACCATCGTAGCAGCTCTCTTTGGTGGCAGCCTTACCGAACACGTGGCGAAATTTGGAGCTGCGGTACTGAGGACGCCATGACATCTGAGGGAAGAGAAGAGTGAGGGAGAGAAGAGGGGGTGTCAGTCAAGGAGAATCATCCCTCAGTTATGCTGATGGGGCTTTTTATATACTCCAGGTTCTTTCTGAAGCAAAAAGGACAGAGGCATAGAAGAACAGATCAGTTTTCTAAAACATTAGCACAGTGCTCTGGTTCACTCAAAATAAAGACACACCGCTTTATGTACAGAAGTTAAAAAAGCATTTAATATTGTGGACGCATGATACCAAAAAGGACTAGCGCAGATACTAAAACATTTGAGACATTGGTCTAAATCAAACCCTGCTATCAAAAAGATGGATTTTTACATAGGTGTAACCGACTTTCTATGCTTCATTTATATTTCTTCCTCAGGAAATTTTAAATTTTTGAATAACAGAAGTTGTTTTTAGGATACAACCATAAAGAAATATTTATTGATTCAATAATTAAAGGTTTTTTTTAAAGATCAGAGAGAAAAACCTGTGACTTCCCAAATCCGGAGTCTGTTTTTAGCAGCTATTCTTAAACCAGTCAATGTATATGTCATTATTTTGAGAGATAAGTGGTTCTGGTCCTCTGGGACCAGGCCCGGCCAGCCAGCATGTCTGCTCTGCTACTCTGTCTGGCTCTCTGCCTGCCTGCTGCATGGTCATTACTTATGAATTAGGGGAGGAGGAGGTTGATGGACAAGATGTTAACGCAAAAAAGAAAATGCACCTAAACAACAACTCACAGAAGACACACAGAGCGAAGAAGTAAAGTAGGGGATGAAAATATCGCACAGCGGTACAACGACAACAACAGCAGGCACAAAACTAATGACAATATTCTGATTTTTAGAAAGCATATGTCCCCTAAAAACAATTTTAACACTCTCATGATTTAGGCTCAAAGTCCATTCCAGTGTCGGCTAAATCAACAGAATGACATCACAGAGGGTGAAGTAAAAAATAACAGCTTATTGGTCAGCAGGATGCAGGTGTGGCTGCAGCTCTGATACTGAGCATGGACTGAAACAGGAGGAAACATTCGGTAGAACAAAAAGAAGAGAGGACAAAGCGTCAAAGTAACACTCTGGGACTGTGACTATATCCATGACTCCATTAACTCTCTCCCCTCTCAGCTTCTACCCTGAGGCTGTCTAAAGACGCTTTACCCTTACATACAGGAATGTTTTCACCATAGACTGTAAATAAACATGGACAAAGCCTTAGTGACGTCTCCCATTTGATACTGAAGGGAACTTTTGGAGCATGTCGATGGCGGCCGTCTCAAACAAACTTCAGGTTAACCTAATACCATGTGAAGAGCTGGAGCGGTTTCTTGAGCCTCCTGACAAAAAACTACACCGTGCTCGCCTGTCAGTCTGGTCAGCTACACGCCTATACGAATAACTCTATCGTAACATGTATGTTTCTGCTGTAAAAACAGGCATTTTTTTAATTGGGTCTGCATGTGACCTTTTGGGGCTCCTGCAGTCAGCCTCAAGTGGACACTCGAGGAACTGCAGGTTTTTGCACTTCTGCATCGGCTTCATTATTCAACACAGGACGCTACGGCTTAGTTTCTTCTTCATTAAACGTATCAGTTTTTTAGAGAGTCAGGCTGCCTCTAAGACACTATCAGTCCACATGAGATTCCTGGCAGTTAATGTGGAAAAGTTTCGCTAGGGGTAGAAAAAAATCTTATTTTTCCTTCATAAACAAAATACTGACAGGAATCAGCACAAACCATTCAAATTATCTCTTTTTTTAAAAACATTTTTAAATCTAAAATGGAACATAAACACTCGAATATAGAGCAACAACTATCACATTACGACCACTGGTAGATGAGAGGCAAGCCTACCTCTTGTCTCTGCAAAGCTTTCCATGTACATGCAACCCAGATTCTTTTTCCAATAGAGTCAAATTTTTATGTAGTGATTAGGGTTGCTGTTAAGTCAGTTCTTCCCATTGTGTCAAACATCTCCGTTAACGCCTTTGTTGCAATGCATAGCCTCAAAAAAAAAATCTTTTAAAAAGATTTTTATCTCTAGTCTTTAAAAAGAAAAGCTACCTGCTTGGGAAACACAACAAATACACCTATTTAAAGGAAAACTTCCCCAGAGGTTCTTTAAGATGCAAATAAGCCGTGACACAAATAAAGGCAAGAGTGGAATCTAACTTAAAACCCCACACACACCAAAATGATCTGCTAACCTGCTTCATGTTAATACATTTAATGACGTTTTTGACTTCATCGACCAGTCTGTGCACATTTCTGTTGAAGGAGGGACCAAACTGCTAGTTAAGCTACATGGTCTTGTAAACTGCAGCCCATCTGGGTTGATACAATCAGCATTCATGTGCTGCTGAGGCTTACAAGACCAGAGGGAGAGGTTTCCAGGGCTGAAAGCTAAGACATCTTGTCACATCTAAAGCAGGTTGTAATCAGGCCATTGGCAGCTTCCTCTCTGCTGCGTCTTGTAGCAGGTTACACAGCAGGCTGCATGGTGGGCGGCCTGTCACAGAACTGATGACGAAAAACACTATTCGGGCTATTTTTACACCGCTTTCTTGCTGATCAAAAGACAGCCAGGCACGTCCACTGACAGCGGGAAAAAAAATAAAAAATGTATTAACAAAGCCTTTACCACAGGCTTTATGTCTTCTAAAAAAAACTTTTAGTCGTATTGTCGGAGGGAAATTTATTTTAGTCTGTGACCAGTGAGTCACAGCAGCGACTGCAATAAGGGGGCTGTAAAAGCAGTCATAAAACTAAACTGAAAACACAGATATGACTTTAACAAAAGATATATTGTACATCTGGTGCGGGTAGAGATTTCGTGTGAGTTTATACCTGTATATTGACGCACGTATTTCACCTATTTTCCACCTACAAGCTGTCTTTTAAGCACCTCATAACTCATAAACGTGTATGCTAGCATGCCACTCCTCTCTCTGGAGTGCTGGAGGAGAGAAAGGAGTTCAAAGTTTACTTACTTGTGCAAGCTCTCAGTTACTTTAGGAAACCTATAATCCTAACATCCTTACCACTCTATCAATACCTGACACCGGTTGTCTGCAAGGACTTTTGTCCCTCTTTTACAGACTTCATCTAAAATCTGCTACCTATAAAACAAAGTGTGCAGCAGCCCCGCCTCCTCAATCCGCAGATGGGATAAGATGTAATGTTTTGTAAACGCTCCAGGTGAAATTTAAGACCAGGAATGTACAGGTGTGAACACATGCCATGCTAGTGTGGTAAGAGAGTTTAAGTGTATACACATATTCATTGTGTGTGTGTGTGGGTGTGTGTGTGTGTGTGTGTGTGTGTGTGTGTGTGTGTGTGTGTGTGTGTGTGTCTGAATGAGAACCTTGTCCCTCTGATATCACACAGAAACCAAAGCTTACAACCTGTTACAACCTCTGTTTGTAACAGGATAAGAGCCAAACAGGTAATCCAATAACTGCTTTAATGCTACAGAGTGTATACATGTGAATGAGTGTGTCACTCTGTGAGTGTGTGTTTGTGTGGGCTACTTTCTGTGTCTCTTTGAGCTTTATCCATGCACGTTATAAACGAGCTGTAAAAGAGTTTTCAAAATAAAGTGAACTTTGCAATTTATGCACAAAAAATATCATCTCTGCTGCTCCTTTGCTAAAGATAAAAACTTTTTATGCATATTTAGCATTAGTGACACATTACAGGTGCATAATGTAGCTCTCATTATGGGTGTATGATGCAATAACTATTCAAGTTATGGTAGAAGCAACAACTCTTTTTCTTATTTTAATCTTAATTCCTCTACTTTGATTCTCTCTCTCGCTCCTATAGTGAGCAACTGTAACGCTATAGTTAGTCCGTGTGATCAATGGAATACTAATTCTGCTTCTAAGGATGTGAATCTCCAGCAGCATTAGAAAGTAAACCTAACTTAACATGACGTCAACAAGCAGGTGTGATTCTACACATTAGTATCAGAGTCAAACATACATGTCATTACTGTAATAATTCTGTCAGTTTTGATTTTAAAAGCTTTCAGACTCCCTGGCATTCACACTTCCACATTCAGATCTCCACATCATGTCACAATAGACCTTTTATTACATGGCTCTGTTTTACATGCATATTTTTGAACGAGACAAAAGTGAATTAATGATTAATGTATAAAGTAGTCTGGCTGGCAAGCTGAGGAGGATATGAGTGACAACTATAGACTCCTGGTTGGACGAACACTTTGCTACTTGATCTGCCATTAAATGTGTTATTCTGGAGGATAAAGACGTTTTTGTGTCCAGAGGTTTTCTGTCACTTGTCATTGGCATCTTTGAATCTGTAAGCCATGGTGAAAATGAAAGCTGAGAAATGCTAAAGTTCCATCTCCTCATTTATTACAACTTGAGTCTTCTTTATAGACTAAAGCAATCAGTTATATTATGTCATATTAGCCATGACATCATTGTGCCAATGAAATGAGCTGCTAAGAATAGGAAACAGTGACTTTGTTGGTACAAAACCAGCCAGGAAAGAAACACTTACTGTATTTCGCGGTCTCACACTTATCTTGGCAGGTCTGCTCTTTAATCTGTATATAAAAATAGCTTTAAGACTGTCAGTGGACCAATGCAGAACAAAGATAAATCAGAAAACAAACCAAAACTGAAGTATCTACTGAAGCTTCATGAGGAGCAGGTATAACTTTAAATCACTGCTTTAGCTTTCTATTGGCTCTCCATTAATGAGTGTACACACATCCTGTGTCCTTCAGTGGCTAGAGAACATCCATAAGTCATGAGCAAGACAACAAGAAATAAATCATGGATCTACTTACATACAGAAAGACACACTGTAAAAAGGAGCTAAAACAGCAGAACAGTCTGTGTGATGTTTGCATATCTTTCACAGCAGCAAGATTTATGCCATATTTTCACCAAATACCATTGATATTTGAACCGTTCTTTCTTTTCAGGAAAATGGGCCAATGCACTCAAAGCATGCATTTCAAAGAATCTTTCAAAAGAGAAAGTAGGATGCACTGGATCAAAGTTAAGTCTAATTATCTGTCTACTGGCATGGTTTGGTTCAAACTATGAAAAAAAAAAAAAGATTAAGTCATGTGTTGAATGTTATCCTTTAGTTCCACAGCTGTAAGTGCATGCTCTCACACAGGTTTAATAAACTTTAACATGAGAAACATGTTACCAGGCTTAATGAAACGACCTCATACAGACTGTGATTCAAACAGGGAACATATTTCAGTAAATGTTGGTGTCTTTAAGGTTTGACGCTACCATAAATAGCATCTGTGGCAAGGGATGAAATGACTGGGACCCTGGATGGATGATGATGTCATTTTCAATGTTGTGGAACGGCTTTGGTTTCATAGTTACTTTTTTTTTTTCTTTCATCAGCAAAAAATAGAAAATACTTCCACGCTTGTGGCAGCAAATGAGCGGCTGTTTTTTTCCAAGTTTGAGCTACTGGATCATTAACTAAAAGGAGCAGGAGTTTAGGTCTGTGTAAAACCTTTGTTTTTTGGGATATGCACAGATTCAGGCACAGAGCTTGTTGGAAGAGAGATTTTTGTTTCATCTTGTTCAAGCCTGTCTCAAGCACATGCATGCTGACTGACTTTGAATCCCCCGAGGGAAAAAGTGAGCTCACACTGCTAAACACACACAACCACACACACAGAAGCCATTCCGTGTTCAAGACACTCGTGGACAAAGGTTTAAAAGTGAAAAAGATCAATAACAGAACACTGAGTAGCATTTGCTAAGGCGCGGGACATTAAGGCAAGAAATCAAGGAAGAAGACAGAGTGAGGGATTGAGCAAGAGGAAAGAGAGGGAGTTAAAGTAGGAGTTCAGCAGCACTCACCCTGTCGAGTGAGTCGTCACCTGCACGAGAAGAAGGAGAAGGTCCTAGAGCGAGAAAAAGTTTTGAAGTCACTGCCTCTGAATGGCAAGACAAAAAAAACCCAAAATAGTTCAAAAGTCCCCTAAAAAGAGGCCCACGGAAAATGACCTGTACTTTATCTCAAGCACATGGATCCAGAACACCCACACACACGCACACCAACAGACATACACACAAACACACATACACACACACACACCGTCAAAGATTCTTCTTCCTATCCTGTCCAAGATTCTTTATCTTCTTTGATGTGCTCAGTCCACACAGACAGTCAAGAGGAGACACAGGGTGGGTGTGTGTGCAGCATGAAGCCCGGTGCGTGTGTGAACAAGCAGGGGGAGAGCACAGGAGTGTGTACACTCCCTGAGAGGGAGGTGACTGGAAGGAGAGGGAGAGAGGGAGAGAGAGAGAGAGAGAGAGAGAGAGAGAGAGAGAGCAGCAGGTAATCACTCTCTCTCCTCCTCTGAGTGCCGCTCCCTCGTCTGTCCTCTGTTTGCTCAATCAGGACTTCTTGCTCGCTCTTTGAGGAGAACATTTATACCATGTGAATGCATAGGGCATTTGTCTTCTCCATTTGGAATTTTATCCAAGGCAATTTAAAGTTTTTTTTTTAAAGTGAAAAAAATCCATTCAAATAGTTTTAATGTAAATAGAGTTTCAATGCTACCAGTGAGCAACAATTAACCGACCCAGATAAAAATAAAAGAGCAGTAAAGGAGTATTTTATTATACATGTCATATTTAAGAGCTTCTCTTGTGATTTAGAATTTTATTCCCACCAAGTTAAGAAACTTTCAGGTTGATGTAGTGTGAACCATTCTACTCAACACTGATCATTTTGACAGCGTTTCCTAATCGATCAAACCAGAAAAAAAATCCTCATGTAGCGTCTCTGACTGATGAATGAATAGTTATTTTTTTAACTCCATATCCCCATGTTTGTTTTTGACTCTTTACGGTTTACCCGTACAGACTGCAACTCAAACAGATTTTTCCACCAATGTTCAAACTGACTTTCATGTGTTTGATTTGGTTGACAGTCCCTTTAAATCTTCAGCTACATATATTCCCAGGGTACTCGGAGTGACTTTGGTCAGGGTCATTTGTTGCACATCAGACCATTATTTCCCCCTCTGTCAAATCACTGGCAAACAGTCGGTGATCTATAAAAGGCAAAATGATGTCAACACTAAATTTAACATATGCAGAGTTTTGTAGAACAATTTCAAGGAGGCAATTTGACTATAACAAGCTCTATTATAGAATAAAATATCCTTACTCACTGTATATTGACCTCCATCCAGAAATGCACATAATCGCAGTTTGTGAGAATAAAAGTAATTAATTCTCACGGACTCAAAGTCATATTGTCACCTAATATAGCCTCATCCCTCTCAAATCATCTGTCCTCTGTGAAGTTCACTCTGACACCCTTCAGACTCCTCAGAACAACAAACTGCGAGTCAAAGCAGAAAGGTGAAACCTGCACTCATTTTTCAGTTGGTAGATTGTTTGGCAGAGAGCCCAGCAGCAGCTTGAAGATCCACTTCAACATCCCCACACGACTTCAGCTGGACCGTGGTGCAATCACTCAAAGTAAACTGAGGCGTTATGTAACGCAGCATTAGCACCAGAGGCTAGGAGAGGCTAATGGGTCGATATGTGAAAAGAGCTGGCCACTCATAACTGGCCTTCACACAGTCAATCAGGGAGAGAAGCTGAGGGGCTGATCAATCATTACTGCACAAACGTGCACGCCTGCACGCCAGCTGTAAAGTGTTCAGATTATCATGAGTGATCGTGAGCCTGCAAAGACTCAGTCGTAGTGACCTGACAGGTTTATTAGGTCGACTTTTATCCCACATTGTTTTGTTCAGGTTTTATTTTTTTACACTTGTCCTTTATTTGTTGTGTTTTGAGTTTAAAATGTGTCAGCTGTTTTCTGCTTTCACTGTCACAAAGGAGTGTGAACTGATTTCCACCCTGTATCAATAAAGGTTGAATTAATAGTTGAATTAAGTAATCTATTTTAAGATGACACACTACAACAATAAAGTACAAAGACAAAAGTTCTGCAATTATAATAATTCTTATATTAGTACTGTGTTCATCTTTAGAATTTAACATTTGTGACAAAATGACAACTTTCACAACCGGTCAAGAACAAAAAAAACTAAATTAAGAAGTTGAGTTGAAGAAGTTTCAAAGTATTTACCTGCAGAGAAATGTGCATGCATTATGATGTCAGGCTATCTAAAGAGTTTCTCAGTTATTTCTTCTGATGAATTCATGTGTAAGCATACACTCTCAAATCATGCTGTTTGTATCTGTACACACACGCACGAGTACACACTGCTGATAAAGCTGGCCACACACACATCCTCCTCGTCAAATACACAATACAGTCCAACGTTCACACACTGCCTCTGAGATAACACAGGACACACAAACTGATGTGTACTGGGTAGATGTTGGCTCAACTGAATTTTTTGCTACACACACACATTACTCATTACTCTATATATATATATATGTACAGAGTCCAGACGTGAGCTTTACCCAAAAACAGACGCAGAGCACCGAAGAGAGACACCACCACTTCACATGAAACTGCTGTATTCAGGATTTGACCAGTTTTCATTTTCCCGGGAGGTTTGTCCTGGAGAGAAGTAGACCTCTTGTGATCAATGACAGAATCCTTACCTCAAAATAAGCTGAGTCCATATGGTCTAAGAGGAGCTAAACTAGTAGAGTATCACACAATCCCAGTCTGATATAATTGGAACAACTCTAAAAAAAGACAACAAAGTTAAGGGTCATTTTCAGACACTTTGAAGTTTACTCCAAGCAGTTGCGTTGTCGCTGCATTTCGATGTACAATGATGCAGCTAAAAAGAAAAATGCAGTTAGTGTAATCCAACCAAACAGCACACACAGTCTTCTCGACATAAACTGTAAGGCAGAATCACAGTGCACTGGGGTATGTTAAAGATATCAGCCTGGAAACACAGACACACAGATGTTATTGACCTGTGTCACCCTGTATACACTCCTCATATCGACAGCTGTAATTTATAGACTCTCTTCTGGCAGCCAAAACGCTCCACTTGAATTTAAACACATTATTTTCCTTGCGCTCAGCTCTTGGCTCAGGTATTGAGTCTTGGCGTTTCCAGGGATCATTATCAATAAGGACAGGGCAGGAGTCCTAAAAGCCTTTCCAAAGAGCTCAAACCACAAGGCTCGCTCTCTAATCACAGGTCACACACAGGCGCAGACTAATAGCTAGCTGCTGTGAAAAAATAGAGACACAATGACCTTCCCTTACTTCCCTTGTCATTGCTGATAACCTGTCCGACTGTGTTTTGACTGTAAAACACCTGGTGTCAGAGCCAAGATCCATCCTGTGTGCCTCAGTCTGGAGTCTTCTTTCATTCATTAAAGGTTTTCTAAGGGTTTTACGGTGGGTTTTAACAGGTGTATTCAATATCTGAATAAATCATCAGGAGCTATTAGTCCAGTGTAAACAGAAACCTCCATGAAGACAGATTCAATTCTACATCATTCATAAAGCAAATAAATGTCTGAATGACTGCCTGCTCTATAATAATCACGTATTATTGCAATAGTAAGTCAGCACTGAGCAGGACTTTGCATGTAAAAGCAATGGCAATCTTTTTCTCTCTTCATCTTTCATTTGCATGTTGTTTGATGTTCTGGTTCTGTTGCTTTGCTGTGCAAATGAGGAGCTCCACCTGCCCAGAAAAACAGGAAACATACTAATTCCTGAGTCATGACACAGTCAGCAAGTGAGTGAAAACATTCACAAGATTCACTCTGCAGATATATAAGAGCCTTTACTCAATAAGACTATTAAAAGACAAAAATCTAACAAACTGACTTTACTTTGCATTGCCTGTGATGCCTTTTTCATCCAGACAGGTCTAAACGGATTTACTACCATTTTTCATTTTTCAAAATCACTGTAGTTGGTTCAGAGCAATCAAATTCATTTGTGTTATATGGCACTTTCAGATCAAGGCAGGAAAAGTCACATTTTAATTTATTTTTAGTTCAAACAGCTTTGCTACAGACTAACTGGCAGTAAGTTTTGCTAAGTGACAATAGAATCCACTATCCCTGAATGCTTTGTGCAGTTATAACCACATTTTTAAGACAATGTAAATTATCTTTATTTGTACCTATACAGGTATAGTTGTAGGTATATTTGGTGGACACTTGTAGATACAATTACGTTTGGCTTAAGTAGCTCTAGCAGCGTTGTCTTTCTAGAAGTCTGTCTGTCTTTCTGTTCACAATACAAAGACCGTTCAACTGAATGTGTTTTCACTTGATGGTTGCAATGGTAAGGTCTAGGGTTGTCACAATACCAGTCGAAATTGCACTAATGCACAACATTTCGGTTTCACACAGGACAGCTTCTAGGTAAGGTCTGTAGTTTTTTTTTTAAAGTTTTGATAATTTGCAATATTAATAGAAGGTTTAAGATAAGTACGCATTTTATAATTTTAGGAAAAAGTTACTGACTATCTAAGTAAAGGATTGCAGCAACACAAACCCTCACACACAATGACGAAACATGATGATTAATAAAGGTTCAGGTTGGACTGAATCCTGCTCATGTGTCTCAACAGGTAATGGAATGACTGAGTATCCTGATACAATCACTCGTTAGGCTTTTGGCAGCCTAGTCACTGCGTAGAATTGTCTCTACTTGCAAAACATTTTTTTCTTAAATTTCAAGAAGCAGTAGAGCCTTTAATGTCAGAGGTCATGACTGATTGAAGAGTGGTCGATTTAAAGGAATCACAGACAGAAAGGTGATGGCAATCAGCAGATGGGAAATTACATGGAGCACAAAGTATTTTGTTGATCGAAAGTCATCTTCAAAATATGTGGCTGACATTATGAAAGAGGCGCATTTCAGCACACTGACCACTAAGGTACATCGTGTGCTTTGATATCAACCCTCGGTTAGCTTAAATGTTACGTGACTCACGTGTTAACATGCCTGTTCTTTCATGTTTCCCACAATCTGCATTAACACAGCTGTTTGAAACAGATCCCAATCTGTGATATCACAGCCTTACCACCTGATTACATCAACTTTGGCAGCAGTAGACACTTTGTACAGCCAATAATTCCCTGAATTCACATCCAAGAAACAATTCAGAGAACCTCTATTTCACTCTATTTGAAGATCAAGAATCAGATGTAAGTTCAAATCTATTATTGAACCTCACACATAAGCTACACTTACACGTTTATAGACGTATGAATTAAATCTTTCAGAAAAGTACATTATGTCTGGAGCGCTGCAAACA